TCGTTTAAGATTGCCATGGAGCATTTTACATTGACAGGGGCATATACATTATAATTACATACTTTTATTGCAGGGTTTTGATTATTTTTTACTTACGTTCAATAAAAAATTATCTTGTCCTGAGTGATTATAAAGACTCAGTAATCATTCATTTATTTCCATCGATTAGTTATGCGGTTGCATGTATTTTATAGAAATTGAACTTGTCGTTTTTGATCCTACTAGTAAGATCTCTAGTTCGATACTTAAAGATTTCATTCTGGATATGAGATCCTGGGGCATCTACAGAAGTTCTTGCTAATATGGCTTAATCTACATTGGTCAAACTACTAGATTCTTGCGCTAATAAGCATGAGAGGTATGTTAGCAAAAAGAAATTCACTATTGAATAACACTTCTAGTCAAAATCCTTTTCTCGGCTTCCTTGTAACCCTAACTATTACCAAAAACTATGCTCCATCGGATTGGATCCTCAGTAAGGGAAGTCAATTATGCCGACACAAGATGAGGAGTATCAACCAACGACTGGTATTCTAAACGAACACATAGGGGTACAATCCGAGTCCGTAACGTTATGATTTCCTAACTTCATTTGAACCTACCTCCGTATATACAATGCTTGTAGTTGTAAATTATATTTACTAGGTATGTTCAAATTTATATAAATCTTGCAATTTGGTTAGTGATCCCAAATCTAATCGGTATATACTTTCTTTTTTCTTTTTCTTTTTTTCTTTTTTTTTTTTTTTTTGTCAATAAATGCCTTTGTTTTAAATGTTGTTTGTAAATGCTAGTAAATGTCGCTAGTTCCCTTTGTTTGCTTTTTCCTTAACTGAAAATTTCTCAAATTATTTGCCTGTTGTTGCTGCATCTGCACGTTTTCCCTCCGTGATTTTCACTCCTGCAGCTGAAGATGAAGGTTCTAATTAGGCTTCGAAACTATTGTTCAGCAAATTTACACACTGCACACAGTTTCTTGCTTTTATGTCTTTAACATTTGTTCTTCAGCATGTTCTTCTTTTATAACTTCTTTATTTTTTTAAATTCAAACTCAGCATAAAGTTTCGTTGTTGTTTTATTAATATAGCGAGGGTTCATATGAAAGCGATATTTTTCATTTTTAAGAATAACAGAGTGGGTGTGACTTATGGAAGTGATTTCAATTATAATCGAAAGAATCACAGAAAAATATGTGGACAAAAACAGCGGGGAGAAAACAACTCAAAGCAAAACCATCGTCGTACAATACACGGTGGGAACATTAAAAGTAAAGGGGGAGAAAATATCGCAGTTCTAAAACATCGTCGTATAAAACATCGTCATCAAAAATATCGTGTTAAAAATCAATATTAAGTAATCTTTTGGGAAATATTGAGTATTGTTTTGTTTCACTTTATTAGTCTTCTTAAAATGCCATCAACATTTTAATGTGCAGCGGGCATTTAATCACTTGGATTTTTTATTTCTTATAGTTTGGATCATTATAAAGAAACATATCAGGTGTAGCTACATTATGTAGCTAGTAAGAGATCAGTATTTTTTGGATTATGTGAAAACATAGTAAGGCTATCTGATATAAGGGTAAGGATATCTTTGTGGAGAACGTACTCAGGAACTGTTTCGTATCCACGATTAGGTAAACGATAAAAATCGCAATCAGCCAATTCTTTCGCTGTGTAGAAATAACCGTCTCTAGAGACGTTACTTCTCGGGCCACTGGTGGCCATTTAGGCAAAAGAATGTTAACGGAAGTTGATTCGTTTTTAGAACCTTCTTTGAGAGGTCTCAAATTTAAAGTTATGTTCCTAAAAATTTAAATGTACACTTTTCAAATCTTCAGACCACAAGTAATTTCAGTGAAGCCCGATTGTGTTTTTTCATCGAAGAAATCAGATTATAGTTTCAGTATTCAATCTTTCTAGCTTGCTTTTATTAATAATCTGACAGCTTTGTGAGGAAAGATGATCAAACGATTTGTAAAACGGTTATTCCGCACACTGAAAATCGAGAATTGATTATAACATTCTTTAGGGAAAGAACGCAAAAGGAAATGCTATGTTCATGTAACACATTTACATTGTAAGACTAATTACGTCTAATGTATAATATTTTACTATTACAAAACTATTGCCAGTGCTACTCTTTCCTTTAAAACTAAGGTCTCTCGCTGCCCTCTTGATGCTAAAAGTCAGCTGGATAATTTTACTTAATAAACGGAGAAATATTATAAGTTTCAAAAATTATAGTTTGCAATTATTTTAAACACTCAAATTTTCCAACGGTAACAAGTATTATGATATAATAACGTATTAATAATTTAAATTCCAACACAAAATTGTTGGGGGGGGAGAGGGCTTGATTTCAGACACGTTGTATTTTTAATGCGGATTTTGGACGAAAAGAGGATATTGTTTATTTAGGCAGTAATAAACAACATACAATAACATTTTGTTACTGCACATTGTTTAAAAACACCGCTTAGGAACTAAAGATTATAAATTTTTTTAAAATATCAGTAATGTAGTTTTTTTATATTCCTCAAATTTTTTGTATATATATAAAGGAAATTATAGTTCGGTTGATGAGAAAATCACTTTATCCGATCAAGGAGGTGAAAGTTCCCTATTATACACATGATAAACACATCAAACTTTAAATTCTATCACTGGTACTGAAAAATATTCAGAACCAGAGGAAATATTGTACATAATTTTATAAAAATTAAGATTTTTTAAGTTTATTTTTACGTAAATTTCAAGCTTATTTAAAATTGTATTATATGCATTAATTTTTTTAAATATTTCTGATATTGTATTTCTGAATTCTAAATATTTCAGAAGTTTGACCTGTTATTGTTGATTATTATATTTATAAATTTAACTACCTGAGAATTTCATTCTGTTTTAATAATCTATTGCATAATTTTATTGGAGAATCATTCAGTGAATGCCAGATAATTTATATAATTTTTTCTTAGCAGATTTATTAATCTTGACTTTGCTTTTTTTCATTTGTTATAATTTCCGAACATTTGTAGAAAAAGCATTAAATTTTCCGTTTTTTAACTGCTTCCTAAATGTTCTCTCTCTTTGATATTCACTGAAGAGATCTGATGCGAAGGATTTCCTTTTTACGGGAGAAATCTTGAATTATACGTAAAAATGTCGAAAGTTAACTTCCGTTCATCTGATTAATACGAACTTTAACCAAGGATTATTGAAATAAAGCAAATCTCGGATTGTTTAGTTTTAAATCCTTCGTCACTCATTTCTGATATTTATCTTTATACAATCTGATAAAAGGTAATACTAATTTGAAATATTTTCAAATCAGGGGACTTTCTATTTCTATGGTTTGAAGGAACACATCTGATCAGCAGGCCAAGTTTTAGAAAGATCTGCTTTTTAACCCTCTGAGCGGCATGATCAGCTTTATCCGGTCATGAGATTTTTTTGTCACTTGAAAATATTAGCTTATGACTTGAGATATTTTGCTTTCTTACTTTCTTTAATAATGTAAATGTAATCTTAATGAATGTAAGTTTATGAAAATAGAGGCATAATATGCTGGGAATTCTGTCTTTTACTAAAGATTTAAAACTTTTTTTTATTCGAATAATTTTCAGGCCTTTATAAACTTCCAGCAAACTTAATATTCTTAATCCTTAACTTCAACCTATATATACTGTTTCCGAAGATATCCACATTAATTACAAACTATCATGTGCTATACTTACATTCAGGTGAATGTAGGGTTCGTCTGACCAACGAGACCAGCTTGTGTAGTGCACTTTTCATAGATTGGTCATTTCTCGCCAACACAGATGGCGCAATCTTATGAAGGCACTTTATACCATAAAGAATGCAACCTGCATCAAAATACCAAAGGATACTCATATCAAGACGTAAATGAATAGTCACCGAATTGCATAAGTGTGCAGGTATCGTTGTAAAATCTTCCAGGTGGCGGGCATGAAAATTTCCCCCTCTTATGTTGTAGAGTAAAGAATGAAAACCTTTAGTTATGAATTAAGGACGATTTAACGGCGGTGGGATTAAGACGATAAACTTAATATGCTTACCCTTTGTTTTGCTTTTCGAATTTATTTATTAGCCCAAAGGGCGTTAGCTCAGAAGGGCTCTTAATTTTGTTTTGACATTTTGTGGTGTTTCGCTATAAACGGCGTTTCACTTTTCAAATTGTTGCCATCAAATATTATCGCCGTTTACTATATTTAAAGAAATTAAATAATGAAGAATCTGCATAAATGTATGTATAATTTAATCGCATTGTGATAAATCAACGATACCTAGAGCCATCAAATTTTGAATGACGTAATCCTACTGCGAATATGGGCATCTAGAAGTCCAAATGTGGAATCTGGAATTTGTTTTACTACTTATTTCATATTCTGTAAGGCATCTGTGAGTTTTTGATTAAGAAACTCAATGATTCCAAAGCGAGCAATCGCAACACTATACGGGGGAGGGGAAAGAAGCATTTTTATCTCCAGCGCGCGAGAATTCTAAAGATATGCTCTCTTTAAATTATTTTGTGATAATGCTGTTGAACTGAATTTCACGGTTTAAATTCGAAGATCAGGATATTTAATAAAAAAAAAGGTAACAAAAAAAGCCCCTTTAAGTGTATTATAAAATCAGAAAACTTTCAGACTTTTCTTTGTTTTATTTATTTTATTTAATTTTTGTTTATTTATGTATTTAGTGTCATTAAATGTTTTCCAATGAGATTAATGTTTTTCATTTTTTGAATCCTGTAATTACGATTAATGTTTCATCCGTTTTGAAACCATATATATCAAGTGACAAAACGGCAAACGATGTCTCGGGAAATTTTCGTATTCTTAAAAATCTTATACGCTCCAGCTCGCATTAGTATTATACATAAATATATATTTGCGTATTATTATAAAGTACCTAATTTATTCTCATATATTTCTGCATATTTTTTCTTAAATTATCGCTGATCGTTTTTTGCAGACAATTGACTTACAAGACTGTAGCCAAGCAAATATGGTTCTATGCGAATATGATGCGAGAGTAGACAATATGAGCTGTCCACAGGTAAAGCTTTTATACTTTACTAAATCTATAAATATCATCAAATATTTTTCTTTTTGAATGTTGTGTTCATGAAACGAAATGATAGGATTTTCAAATTGGAAAATTAATGATATGGATACAACTCGAATGTTTATTATTATACGACGAATGAATGTTCTGAAATTCAAGATTCTAATATTAATGGGATGGTTGGTTTGCTTTGGTTTTATTAGATTACGGCAAAGCACTCGAGGACGATCTGCCTTAAGGGAGGGATGCCTTCGTGGAGAACTTTCTAAGGTAACATGGCTCGTATGCACGTTACACATGGGGAAAACCACGAAAACGCCCATGCAGCCAGCCCGTTCGCGGGATTCGAACCTCGGACCGAACTCCCAGTGTTCAGCGACGTTACCGCTAAGCCGCTGGTGGGCCATTAATGGGATGAATTCATGTATTTGAAACTCTTACAGACTTTTAACATTTTAGTTATTCGTATTTATCATTAATTAAAGCACATGTCATGAAAATGGGTGTGTTATAAATCGACAAGAAGGCAACGGCAAATATTTATTCATTAAGTAGTCAAACATTACAGAACTGTTTACGCCCTGCATTAAATCTTGTTCTGTCGCAAAGCAATTTATATGTGGTTTACAATTCATGAGATCAACATGCAGAAAAATGTTTCCGTTGCTCCAGTTCACGTGCATCCTCAGAAAATATCTTTAACGCCGAGCCTGTTGGACTAAGAAGGGGCTAATGTTGATAGAGCTTGTTCCCATCGGTCACGCGGAGAAGCCACAAAAAGTAGGCTTAAAGATTTTTATATTCGAGTTTTAAACTCATAATCCCCAGAAAGTTAGCATTTTCGGGCATAAAATTTAGGCATAGCTACAGATTTTAAACGTACTTTGAAATCGTCAAACAAAGCTTGCGGATTTTCTTTAGCCTTTATACTACTTCATCACTAAGAGATTGAGCTCTGTCAGCCGAGTTTTAAAATTTAAATTAATTCAACACTAAAGCGGATAAAATGTGTTGCCAAGAAGTGCAGTGTAACTTAATATATCTTAGCAGGAACATTTGTTCTATAAAATAATGTATTTCTTATTAAGAGTTCTCAGAATAAGCCCGAATCCCTGTCCAGATTATATCTCTTAATTGCAGAGTTTTAAGGAAAGCTATGAAAACAGAATTTATGTGCTACAGCGAAAACGTTACTATTAGTAATTTCTACAATAAAAATTGTTAGCGCCGTATGTTATATACAAACTTCGCTCTATTATGAAGCAAAACATCTTGATTTTGAAATACTTTCCATTATAATTAAAATAAATTTCATTTCTTTACATAATTTCAGTTTCTATTAGGAACGTATTAATACCTATATGCAGTAGCGAAAATATAATATAATTCGCACTGTTAAAAAAAAAATATATGCATCCTTAAAACATAGAATTATAGTCGGAAAGTTCTACGAGGCTATACATATTCTAATTGGAGTTGAGAAGCATTTTATTAGAAACAGTGGCAACACGAAAATAATATTTTATGAAATAATAAACCCTCCCTTGCCAGCTATACATACAATGTAGTGTGCTCCAAATACTGCAGCTATTCAGCAAATTTCGTGATACTCTTAAAGTTTCGTGATACTGTTGCCTTCCAGGTGCATATTTCTATTTTCAGTCTCTTTGGGAAACTGGATGGCAACAGCAAAATGTTAAATACTTGAGGATATTGTTGAGAAAACCATGCAGTTTGTTCTGTAATGTTTTGTTTTCTTTTAGTGATGCTGTATGAGTATTTGACAGCATACGCAGTTAAATGAACTGTAAAATATCACCAATATGCATAAACATGAAAGTTTGCCTTTCATCCTAGTTACAGAAGTACTGTCACACCATAATGTAATAAATAACAACATATCACTTGACAATAGATGCAGGAATGGAACGCTTGTTACAGAAGTACTGTCACACCATAATGCAATAAATAACAACATATCACTTGACAATAGATGCAGGAATGGAACGCTTTTCATTCTTCTTCCACATACGTACATCACTCTGATAGAAAAGGGAAATTCTTTGCTAAAGAACTTTCTGGAACTGGACACTGTTCGGCAAGAGAGAATTTATCATTATTATAGATGACTGCTAGTTTCTGAAAAAGATTATTAGCCGCTTAATGGAAGCCAAAATCTAATCCTAACTTCTATCAGTCATTATGGTATCCAATGATGGTACCGGATGCGTAGAAGATGGCAAATGTTTCTAAATCGGTGATAATGACGCTATTAGAGCGGTCGGGTTCGTTTTTCTGATTACATGGTACTCTGGAGAATTTGCGTGTATGAAACATCTTGCGCACATATATTATCCGTACAGGGTGGCGTACGAAATGTCGTAACATTTGTTTTCTGTATTACAAATTGTTTTCTTCCTAAAATATTACAAAATAAATAAATAACTTACTGTCTGAGCATGAAAACGGAGTTAAGTGTATGTCAGAAAGTGTTCGATATGTCCAAAATTTTTTTCGAAACCTGTTGAAGTGAACTTTTCAATTTATCACAACCCTCTGGTATACATCTTCCGAAACAGCACGGCACAAATGCAGAGTAACAGTCTTTTGTTCCGTCGCATTTGCAGGATTTCTTACAGAGAACTCATCCTTAAAACAATTCCATAAAAAGACACCCCAAAGAAATCGTATAGGTTAATACCCCGCCTATGTGTGAAGGCGCTGTCTTCACTTCATAATATTTAGAAAACCAACGCTATATTACAGATTTAAATATCTTCTACAGAAAATGAAGAATAATTTGCAGTGTACGAACAGATTTTGTCATGCATGAAATACTGAATGTGTAAAGGAAGTCTTGTTAATATTTGAAGGTGTGCGAACACATAATGGGAGCTATCGGTTCTTCTCCAGTGCACAGCCTTAGGTTTACATTTGCTAACGTAATCTGCGACCTTTCTTTTTCAAAGAAGCCCATCTTGTGCCAACGTGTGCACAAAAACATCTTTATATAATCATCAAACTCTTCGCTTCTACTTTTACTTTCTGTTTAACATTCAACCGTCCATTTTTCGCCATCTTTCAAAGAAGTGTTTCGCGACAAATTGGAGTTCGATACTGATTTCTTCTGACATCTACCGGATTTTCCATGAATACGAGCACCCGTATATGCGTTTGTAACATTCAGTGTATGATATTAAAATTTTATTGGGTGACAGAAAACTTTGTCATGACAGATTGTGCACCATTCTGTGTTTACTAATTTCTGATCTTGATCTGTTGTTGCTAACATCTAACAGCAAACATTTCACATCTATCCAAAATGCCGCCCTATATGTCTTTTGGATTCATCTGGTTCTCTGAAGTTTATGAAATGGCCTCTCTCTGCATCAAAAACGTTTTGGTAGCGCCTTCGAATATCTATCAAAAGCATCTTTGTAAACAACTTGCAGTATCAAAGAAGAAATTCAGTTAAAGCACTCCATCAGTCAGAACATATTCAGCATTTTGAGTTCTAGCGTTCCCCCTTCATGTGCACTAAATGATCTTGCTGTGTTAATGGCTCTGAAATTCTGCTCATTGGCATAATGTTTCATGTTGCGACTATGTACCAAGTTTTGAGCTTGTAATTCAGCTTTGTTTAGGGCCCGTATTCCTTTTGTTACAATGTATAAATATTTGAAAATTAAATTCTTACATGGTGCTATCATGCTGAAGAGGAGTGAGAGATCCGCTGAGCGCCCCTGCTCTTTCCTCCATCCAGTGCGAAAAATTAGAGTTAGCAAGGCCCATCGATACCTAATATGCCTGAATATGGATACAGAGTTGCCTACCTTACTTCAAGTCTATACCTGTATACATCTGTTTGCATCACATGAACTTTCATGCATTTATTCTTTCTTGTCAAGTATCTTAGCTCCATTCATTCATTCATTTAGAGGCAAAGGAATAACACTCTGATACAGGATAAAATGCAGCCATCGGTCTCATTTTATTCACATTTATGAAATATTTATAAACATTAGAGTAATGAACTCTGCTTATTTCAAGATTCTTGCGGTATTAATTTCAGATAATCTTTTTTAAACCAAATGTCAAGTAGAAACATCTATAATACAAAATAGTAAAATATATTTAAAATAAGATAAATAAAATTTTTTTCAATAAATTTTGTTTGAAAATTTGAAATAAGTTTGAAAGTAAAGGAATTATTCAGTAATTTTCTGATTAAAATAGTAAAATTATATGTTTTTGTTTTGAGTAGAAAAGTAATAAAAAAAATGTTTTTAGGACTGGGATCTGTACGGTCGTTACTGCTTTATGAGAAGTACTATTCAGACTAATTATGCAGTGGCTGTATCTTTCTGCTCATCTCATCGTGGAAGGTTAGCCGTCCTGGATTCTGAGTAAGATTTTCATTTATTCATTGTATTATAAGAAAGCATGCAAGGTATGTCTGTTTAAGAAAGGTGGCTTTCGTGAAGGACTTTCTAAGCGAAAATTAATTGTACAGTAAAACTTCTAGATACGAGCATCTCTATATACGAGGAAAGCATGAAAGAAAAATTTGTCTCTAAATACGATCATTGACTCGAGTAACGAGCAATGAGCCAGGCTGTTAGTATGCGTGGCGCCATTTCCCGATCCTGCTCGACTCGGGGAATCTCCTCGTCAGATCACTCAGTGTTCTTTGATCTACATGTTTGTGCGCTTGTAAATGAATTGTTTATTACACTTAACGTGAGAAAAAATTATTTCACGATACCTCCCAAGAAGACTGTTGCCTCGGATAGTGCTGCAGAGAAAAATAAGGAAGCCATGGCCCTTGAAATTAAGAAAGAAATCATAATAGATAAACATAAGCCTGGTGTAAAAGTGACGTAATTGGCGAAGACTTACGGCCTTTTCGACGTCGATGGATCTGCACTTCTTGATGAAGAAACTTGATATAGGTAAAGGAGTTACCGTTACTTCTAAGCACCGTCCAAAACTCCTAGAAGCAGTTGAGAAGCTGTTGTTGGTGTGGATTAAGGAGAAGCAGTTAAGGTCGGTGTCGGAAGCTATCATAAAGATATACTACGGTTATATTATTTACCAGTATTGTTTATTAGGAAAATTGATTTTTATGTTGATATTTTGGGGTTGCGGAACGAATTAACTGGATTTCCATTAATTTTAGTGTGGAAGTTTGTTTCTAGGTACGAAAAATTCGCTATACGAGCTCAATGCTGAGACGAATTAAACTCGTATCTCGAGGTTCGACTGTATTCACATTTCGCATGGGATAAATAAATGCCTATGCAACCGCACTGTTAGCCAGTACCCGAATCTGCACTAAATTACCGAATTTTTGAGGTACCACCCAAATAATGATATTTGTTAGGTTGCAACTTTTCTATGTATTATGTCCAATTTTTGAAGGAGTTCCAAAAAGAAAATTTTATTAAGGGAAATATTTAGGATCGAAAAACATTTCGAAATGTTTATTAAATTGCGTAATGTCACCTGAATTTACGATTGAAGCACTTTTAATACGTTGCTCAAGATAATATTTTACATAAGATTTAATTAACAATTTGTTTTAAGAAAATAATGACAGCATTTTGAAATTGCAACGTATTGGTTTTGAAATCAGAAACTTTCCATGGGCTTTATTTCATTCTATTTTCAGGCTTTTTTTGCCAATTAAATAATTCGGAACCATGAATAGCAATAGATATGATTGGACTGAGGATACTACTGACTGATTTTGCAAAATGACCATATGCACCGTGTACCTAGCAACCAATAACAAAACTTTATCTGAAAACGCTGTTTTAAAAAACAGCGAAACATTTGTTTGCATTAAAAGATACCAAAAGTTTCACCCTGCAGTGGAAAAATAAGCAAAAATTCATAAATAATTCAAATCTGACTCTAAGTAACATTCCCCTAAAGCCGTAATTTTTTAATATGAATATGTTTTGAATATGTCGTATTTCAGCTCTCTGCTGTTAGAAATAGACTACCTCATTTTCTGTACATACGTCTAAATCACAGAACAAATATCAGCTCATAAGTGAACAACTAATGTTCGGGACAAAAGTATTTTTTCTTTTAATTATCTTATAGACCCGAATATATGTTATAGATATTACAATGAAAATAGATTATATTAAATAATTTTCAGACTTATTCAGCATTAGACAAATATTATATTCTGTATTATTTTTACTTTTTAAAATTCACACATTGAATTCCACATTTCATAACATACAAATGTTTTAGAAACGTAAAATAGATTCTTGCACGACATCTTGTTTTGTACTGTGAAAAATGCGTTTCCAGCTCCATCTAAAGAAAACCTTTTTCTATGAATTGTATTTTCAGTTAGAAGATTCGCAGATATCCGTATCACTAACGTATCCCCTTTCAATATCGTTCATGGTACTGGTTGAGATCTACACTCTGCCATTCTCGGCTCTGAAACTATTACTAGTTTAAATGATAATTATGAGATTTACATATGGTTTATTAAGATTAACACATTTTTTATCTTACATGCATTTATTTAGATTTAAGATTGCTTTTTGATGTATTTTATAAATTAAGTAACAGAAAGTACAGAAACTATTGATAAATACCAAAACTTGAATGAAAGTAGATTTTTATACTCATAAACTATATATCATACTAAAGCTCATAAACTAAGTTAAGCTATACTCATATTCACAGCTTTAAGCTCATAAACTAAGTTATACTCATATTTCATAGCTAAATAAAAGGCTGATCGTATTCATCTCTTAAACTATAAAATTCCTGCCTAGGGAAAATTTCCACCTCCCTCGGTTGAGAACCTCTGAACTACACGTTCCAAATGTGCAGAACAGTCCCACATTCCATGCAGATTCTGGCATTCAGTAAATATACGAGTTTTCCTTATAAAGGAAACTTGTCACTTGTCGCTTGAATATTTTCAGTGCTGCCCTTTTGCGGTCACGAATGTCGTTTGTGAGATCAGAAATGCACTCGATAAACAAATAAACGTTCTGTCTAGGTATAAGTGATAAAGAACGCACGTATATGATAAAAAGAACTGACTTGTAAAAGAATTTTGAATTTCCCTAAGGGAAGTTTCCAAGGGAAAATATTTAGAGAATAATTGAGATAAAATTTATTCAACGAAATATTACATTTAGAAAGATAAGAATAAACTAAAAATTAAATAATTGTAAGAGTATAAAACGAAATTGACCAATTTTCCCATAATTTGAATAACTATATGTCTTTCAGCTCTGCAACATAATAACAGAATTCTCCTTAACAACAGTAGTAATATACCGTATATTTTGATAGTAAATACAATGAAACCTTAGATGGCGACTGGTTCTAAAGATGAACGATATTTCTGACTGAAAATCAGCGATACTGATATATACTCGTACAGAAAATCAGCGATAATCATATAGTCTCTGAAATGACCATATACACAGAATACCGAAATCTCTTTGGGTGGTTTCACTCTTTGGGTGGTTTCATAACAAAAATGAGGACCGCGAATGTAAAGCACGAAATCTTTATTTCTGGACTAAAATACAAATAAAAGTCTTATTTACAATCAAAATCATCAAAGAAGCACTCTATCATCTCACGTAAGTCTTCAAGAATTCTACAAAGCAAACAATTATCTCCAGAAGCGAAATATCTGTACTGTTTGGTGCGCAAATGTCTTTCATACTAGTGTAGAATGAAAAAGCAGAAACAATGAAAGATATCTGTGACATGTGTGCAGCAGTAGCAGTTTCTTTTCGCAAAATTTATTCATTACGCTTTATAGCCATTTTAATGTTGAGTAAATGTTTTGTAATTTGTCATTAGTCCACGAAAGAAAACGTTTTTTAAAAATACCAGATTTTAAACTTTTTCGGTAAATTCACTTTTACATGAAAATGATATAAATAATTTTATACTTCATGCTATGAAAATGATATAAATAATTTTATACTTCATGCTATGTGTACGTAGTATATAACGTACACATAATATTATAAATATACATAAATATAAAGAGCTTTATATTATATATATTTTTTTTACTTGTACTTTAAAATCGTATAACACTCCAATTTATATTTTTTACTACTCCTATCTATATTCAAGGCTGGTGAGAAAAAAGAGGAAGGCTGAAACGAAAAGTAAATGCTAAAGGGTGTTTCAACCTCTTATTCTGAACAAGTGTGATCGGCAAGTCATAAATTACATCTCGAGAATAGTGGGAATAATATGACTACCGGCAAATATTACTCAGAAGCAATGTTATACTGGTTTACGGTCTACAGTCTTGGACTTAGCCTTTAAATTCACATGAGCTTTGCTTGAAGTAATACAAATGCTGCAATTAATAAGCTAGATTAGATATAGTAAAAAAAAAAAAATTCGGGCTTTTACAATGATTCACATATTAATAAGTCAAAATTAATTTTAAATTTTACTTTCATTTTACAAACGGAGTAATTTACAAAAATTACTGAACAGTAATTTTACAAACATTATTGAACGAAGGGTTTTGAAGGATTTCGGTTCAGGATACAGGCAAGTCATGGCCTCTATTGATGTCCGCCACCCGGCAGGCCTTTTTAAGTTTAAAGAAATCCTGGAATTTGAAAAAAAAGAAAAGAAAATTGGGTCAATTTTAAAGAAATGACTGACAGAGAACTCGGGGAAGAGAATTTTCATCATTCACTTCCTCCTAAAAAACCTGTTAACAACTTTAAAAAGGCAATTTTGTTTTGTGCTAAGGCATGCATACTACGCGGCAGAGTCAGAGGCTATAAGTGCTTCTGGTTCATTAAATTGGAGGAATATAAAGAGAAACGGTACCGACTCAGAAGAAAAGCTGAGCTTACTAAAAGGCAGTCTGCTGTTGTTGCATGGCGAAAGCAGGCTAACTTGGTAAAAAAGCTGTATTACAAGCCAAACGTCAATCCTTTGAAGATTTCATTTCACACACTGATTATAAAAAGGATAGCTTAAAAATTTTGAAGTTTATTTCTAACATCCAAAATCGTAAACCCTCGTGTAGGAAGAATCTGATTTCTGTTGGAAATAAATTGCTGCATTCGGATATGGCCATTGTAAACGCCTTTGGACGGTCCTATTTTCAGTTCCAGCGAAAGGAAAATATGCAAGAGAAATGTCAAGGAAGATTAATGTTAAATGGAAAATGTTAATCAAAATGCAGAATGCTACGGAAGAATTTAAGTGGGAGGCTATTTTTTGAAGCTCCCTTCATTTTTTGAAGCACTGGAACTCGCACTTCGACGCCTTAAAACGAAGAAATCTGGTGTGGATTATCCATTTCCATCCGTAGAGTTTCTTATCCGATGAAGCAAGAAAAACAGGATTGAATGTATTTAATCAAGTATGGGAATCAGTTCAGATTTCGTCATATTGGCGAAGAGATATTATTATCCCAGTCCTAAAGAAAAATAAGAACCTGGTACAGTTGAACAGCTATAGACCCACCTCGCTTATTAGTATTCTTGCGAAAACTTGTGGTAAATCGTTTGAACTGGTATCTTGAGGAATATAGTATTTTAGATGTATAACAGGCTGGTTTCCGAAGGAATAGGTCCACGTGTGACTTAAATGACAAAATTCAGCCAATTTATTAAGGATGCTTTGGTTGACAAAAACATTTTGACAGCTGTTTATGATGACTTTAAGGGGGCTTATGATTCTGTCTGGAGGGAAAGGCTCTACCAGAAGGCATTTGTATTGGTGTTTCATCAAAATTATTTAATTGGATTAGGTCTTTCACAAGCCAGAGGACATGCAGGGTAAAGTTTGAAGAATCCTTCTCCAAATGCTATAATTTACAAACTGGGCTTCCTCAGGGAGCAGTTAGTAGCTGCACCTTGTTTAATATATATCAACGATTTAGTTTCTTCTCTAAATCAACACCTGGTATTAGTTGTTTACATTTGCTGATGATTTGGTATTTTTGTCCGAGGCTCCAAAACATGGTGCAAAAATCCTTATTGAAAGCCGATTAAATAAGGCCCTGCAGGTGCTATCGAATTGGTGTGAAGAAAATAATATGACCGTAAATTTGGAAAACACAAATTATATTAGTATACAAATTATCAAAATCATAACAGTTAATTTCTTTAATTTCTAGTTCTTTCATAGTAGAAATAATTTTAAAGTTATTATTGATGCTCCAACAAAAATTGTGTTCTTTTCGAGCAGAGTTCAAAATTAGGTCATTAACTTTTTTGTGGAAATAAGAAGTCAATGTCCTTTTTATAATTCTTAATCCATCAGCAATAAACCTGAATTTAGGTGTTGTGTTATAGAATTTAGGAAGACCACAGATGCAAGAAAATTTATTGTTTTCTTTAAAATTTAAATTTTAAGTTTGCTGTGCTTTAAGCTTGTTTGTAATGGAGATTTCTTTTCAGTGTTTTTTGGAAGGTAATGAATTGGTTGAGTTCTGCTCCTATTAGTTGGTACTAATATTTTTTCAAGTAATACCGAAATTATTACTTGCCTTATTAATTTTAGTGATCGTAATTTTTTGTTTAAGAGCTTGGATTTTATGCTATTGGTGCTTTTTTAAAATATTTTGTAGAAATTAATTAGGTCATATTTAGGGTGAAGGAAATTTACTTTACAGTGATATTGATTTCAGTTTATTTTTTGATTTGAAAGTTTGTATCTAAAATCTAGAATATTAATACTTTGCTTAATGATATTTTATATATATGACACTTAATAATATTTTCCTTTGCATATTGAAATTGAAAATAGTTTCTAATGAATATTAAGAATTTACTATAACAAGTATGCAAACAATTAACTAGATTTTTAGTGAAAATTGCTGAATTGAGAAATTTTTTAATATAGTCTTGTAGTCTTTTATGGACTTTTATTGATAATTTTTATTGTTTTTACAACCTCCTCGTTTTCCTCTGTTTACAACAAAAAAAAAATTGAAATTGGCAATTGTCGAGGAATTAGTAGATTCCTTATGGTGGTGAATATACGTGTTGGCCCCTTCATAAGGGTAAAGAGCGTTTTCATTTTAGGCATGCACAGTGATATTTGAAATAATCTGTCTGAGTTTTAGTAACAATATCAAGAATTTGAATATTAATGTTATTGAAGTCACGAAAAAGTGCAGAATTAAAATACGTTTAATAATTTTTATTTGATTAGCTATATCTGCACACTTTTAAGCGCATTCGACTATGCTTCACTAATACAAATAATACAAGTTAACCATTTGCATTGGGTGCTAAAAAAATCTGAAATCTGTTCATATTGTAGTATGCATTTCTTGGCCTCCTTCCTCATATTTTTGTTGCATATTAATGAAAACTTTAGAAACAATTTGAAACTTGTGAGTTTACATGCCCAACTTTGTACATACTAGTTTGACTGTTGTCTTTTAAAATATTTTCGTTTTATGTGAATAGAATATTTCCTTTATTCTAGACGGATTTTCTTGTAAATTTTCAATACTGTATTTAAATCATTTAAAAGTTTCGTTTTCTTAGGTCAAAGGAGAAACATGGCAAAAGTATTGTTGCAGAAAAAAATCTCACTTATTTTGTCGGAGCCAAGCGAATCGATGGCAATTTTAAATGGTCAAATTGCCAAGATTTCAATCCTGCGTGCCCATCGTGTATTAATGGAAATAGTGGTAAAGTATTCTAATAAAAGAAGAAAAGTTTTTATATAAATAAACAGAATTTAAAGAGCAATGATACGCGCTTAAACCTTACTGGTAATGACATCTCTGCTTGAGACATGAATTAAAATTTCTCTGAAACGTTTCATATAAGCAATAAATAACATTAAACGTGTCTTGAATAAAAAGTAAATGAGATAAATTGAAGCATTTACTCTTTAACTCAGCTTGCAATTTTATTTAAATGACATGAGATACCACTTGTTCCCCGCGAGGATCTCATTTAGCAGACGAGTATACAGCAGACTGAGCTGCACAACTAGCTCAATAACAAGAGATGGGTAGCTGTAACAAAAAGCGGCTTCTAAGTGATTAGGCTTTGAAGACTATGTATATTTTAATTATTAATATTATTTTTCGACAGTAGCTTCATTTCCTTAATTGCTGAATTGATTCATTTTGATTCGTTTTCTTTCCTTAAAATTTATTTAATTTTTTAATTTTCGGTTTTAAAATTGAAATTCGAATGCTATTTTTTCCCATTTTAATCATTTTAGAGCCTATATTTTTCTTATATAGGTTAATTCTACTCTTATTCAATTGTATCTAGTATCTTATTTACCTGTTTACTAACTCTTCGAGTTCGGTAGCAAGGGAGCTTGCACCTTGATCATATTGTAATATGCATTTTATGTCCGAATAAAAGTACCGGCTATGGTTTTCCGGTATCTTCATTCGGAGAGCTGTATCGCCTTTTCTTTTGGGCACTTCCGGGTTACTGGTCTCTTTCATTTGTTGTTGGGCGCAGTCTGGCGCAGGCTAATAGCCATGTGACTGTTTTTATACCTGTTAGGAACTTGGCTGCACCCAGGAATTATTGCCTTTGGGTATGGGCTCGAATCTCTGGAAGGCATAGATGTTTGTCAACGTCGAGTCTTTGTGGCATGGGGGCATTCAAAATACTGTCGAGTCAAAAGTCGGCATGAGAAGCTCGGAATGTTGAAAGATGGTTGGGACAGTCCTCGAATTCTTTTCTCGAGGATATCCAATTTCTCCATTAAATTTGTCGTGGAGTGCCTCTTTTTGCATGTGTAATATCCGCTCCCCCGTAGCATACAATGGACAATGTTCTCGATGATGAGAAAGCTAAATGAAGAATGGATTCGGCTTTCATAGTCTTGTTTAGATTAATAACTTCTTTTGTGCTCTTAATTTTATTCTTGTATTACCTGACTTTAAACTGCTCATTCTGTATTCACGTAAGCTTTATATTTATTTGCATTTATTCAGTCCATTATTTTGCTTAATTTCAGACATCGTTTCTAATTCCGCTCCTGTTTCCAACTTTCGCTGAAATTGTCTTGTGATTAACAATTTTCATCGTATCTCCTATTGTTTTATGTTCTTACTGTTTATGTTATTCATATTTTCTTTATTATATTTATTTTTCTTTCCATGCCAGTTTCTTTCCATTTCTTCCATTGATTTAGTTATGTTTATTGATTTCATTTTATTTGGTTTTATTGTTGATTTGAATGACATAAACGAATAATACATTATACTTTTAGAATAACACAGAATTCATGTATATCAAAGGCCATAACACGTAGACTGGTAAAAAATATTCCGTAATTATGCAGTCTGTAAACAATAAGGTAAAAATAATTATTATATTACATTTAAGCCATCTGTTAAAGCCATCAAATTATTATTTGCTCCATCTGTCAATATTTAACTACATCAAACTCCTCTTCTGAAACGAAATTAAGCAAATATAACAAGGTTATTATTTTTTATTCAAATTTTTTTTTCTTATAACACCCAGCATCTACACGTACAAAAGAAAAATTTTAGTAGAGTAAAAACAATAAAGACATTGTTTAGTTTTCCATTTTGTGTTCCTGAAAATTAATTGTGTTGCTTTGCTTTAGTTGAAAGAAAATTGGATCTTGTGTTCAGACGATAACAACAAGAAAGTTTCTATACGGTAAATTTTGCTGAGGACCGAGAGGCCGTGGGCATTGCTTTTAAAAAATAATTTTTGATTTCATAAATTATAACTTGTTTGAAGGAAAACACAAGAAAGAAAAAATTCCTCATTCTTATAAAATCCGTGCTTGCGTTTTAGAAATGAAGCTACTCAGTTATTCAGACTTTAGCATATGTATGAGCTCTTTCCGTAACTAGTTTAGATATCTATCTAGAACAGTACATATTGCTTTAACCTGGCTTTAATTTTTAAAAAATCTAAATTGCTCATTAGACAAAAGTAATCTTAAATGGTTTAGATTGTGATTGAAACTCTATCGCTTTCGATGGGAATGAGACTCAAGTCCCTCATTTTAACGAACAAAAATTTGTTAGCTTTTAAAGCAGAAGAAATTATGTCTTATCGCCTTCAAATCCCCTATTTTTGTCCAATGTTCTTGCCAATCTAATGTTGCTTTTTTTTTTCCTTATGTTAAAATTAATTACAGCAATAAATTTGTTATTAGTTGAATTTTTATAATATGTCTGGGATTATATATCTTAAGATAATGCATAAACTCAGTGCTTTCTTATCGTTTACTAAAATAATTAAATTTTAAATTTCAATCTGAGAACTTCTAGCCATCTTTGTTTCTCCAGAATTACCAGTAATTATTCCATATTGCAAAACGTTATTTATTTAATTTTTTATCCTTTTTTATTGATACAATGCGGTGTTTCTTTATTGCGTGATAGAGATGCAGTGCATGGGGCTTTTATCAGAAAGTGCTCATCCGACAATGTTCTCATGGGAAAGGATCAATTGCAGTGAAAATCACTACTTTATATGTGAAAATGATGCGGAAAATCGTACTGCTCCTGCTCCTGATCAGTCTTACTCTGCGTGTAAAATAAAGACTACTACTCCTATTCCTGTTCAGAATTCAACAGAAACAACCACCCTTATTTCGAATCAGACTTCAACTGTATCAAAATTAAACACTGATAGACCTCTTCCTGTTGAAACTTCAACTGCATTGTTATCAGAGACTACTTCAGTTTCTTTTAATGTTTCAACTACATTGAAGTCCCTTATTTGTCCTGATCCTAGATGGAAACGTCATATGGAGTTCTGTTATTGGGTAAGTAATCGCTATCAGGATACATTTATTTGTAATTAAACTTCTGTTATTTTCATTTTCTTAAAAGATCTTTCTTATCTCAGTCTTTTAAATAACATTTCCTGATTCATAACCTTCAAGAACGTATATTTTCTTCGTTATATAAAAGCAGAGTATACGTATAGCATAATCGTAAGCCGATATGCCGTAGTTGCTGCTGTTAATGACATGAGAAAATACCTGAGCATTTCCGAACCAAAAATTGGCAGACTGTGCTATAGTTAATAATTCATATAACTTAAAAGAACAATAATGATATAATTAATATTAAAAAGAAAAATATTAATGGAAGTAGTGTACGTACAGTGCAGTTTCATCTTTTACGACTGAAACAAGAGTGAAGCATACTAGATTACAGTGGGGCTCTGATAGCAAGCTTAGTTGAGAGACTGATTTGTGGGAACTACAAAAAGACAGATGGGAGCCAAACACCTCTTTTATTCCAACGGCTTCCAAACAGCTCTCAGTATTTTAAAATACTTGAACTTTTCGTAACTTTAATACTGGTCAATCATCATTCTCCTTAAGCGCATGAATTATAGAATAGTTGCTACCATTCATATTTCTCAAAATTATATTTTTTGATATCATAATTACAAAAGAAAGATAAGTAAAAGGGGATTTCTCTAAAAATTTTTTCAGAATAGCGACGTGATTTTGAATTGGTATGAAGCTCGGACTTACTGCCAGGGTTTCGGAGGAGACTTACTTACTTATCATACTAAGTCAGAAGAAAGCCAAATTATTCTAAGGTAATAAAGTCTTTTCGTGTTCTTATGGACTAAGAGTATTAATATGAAATGTGATAAATATAAAGTCTAAAAATTTTTTAGTTATTCCATATTGTTGCGTCTGCTTTCCAAAAATTATTCCTTGCGATTCTCTGTGTAAAGTTAAAATTTCTGAAAGCGAAGTTGAATTATGAAAACTTTTTTGTAGGTAAATTATATCATAGCATTACCAGGTGTAGGTAAATAACGTAATAGCAAATAATTAACCTAAATTTGCTAACGTTTAGGTAACTGTATAAAAATGTTTTATTCCCCACTATTTTTGTCTATTATTTTGCTGTTTTGGCTGTTTGTTCTCTACAGTTCAAAAGATAATTTTATTTTGAATTTAAGTATTTTATTTTACAGAGGTTTATCAGTTTTGCCTTTTCTATTTCATTGACTGAGCATTAATTGATAGCTTATGAATTCACCACGATATTCTTCAAGTTACTAATTCCTAAAAATTTTTTTTTTTTTTTTTTTTTTTAATTTTGGTTCCTGAATTTATGGTCTGTTATTTTGTGTAATTATCCCTTTCTAATTTATTTTAACAATGATTTCGAAAATCATCTATATCTAATTCAGATATAGGCTATATAAAACTTTTCAGAATTAATTCAGAAGGGTTTTCTAAAATATAATCAATTGACTAAGGCAATCAATCACTTTGCGCGTTGTTTCCTAGCACTTCCGTAGCTAAGTGTATAAGTTATACTATAAGGACATTAGAAGGTAATTTCAGAAACTGAAAGAAAAAAATCCTTTATGTGAATTATAATCTAAACTAAACTCAGTGGCGTAACAGCCCTAATGGAACATGGCCTGCAGTGCCCGAAATCTGCTTTCTTGACCGTGGGCCCCGGGGTGCGTAAGCATATGCCTTGAACAAGTGGTCAGCTTGTCGCAGGCCCCCCCAGTGTTTAATCCCCAAGCGAACTTGGTACTCATTTTATCGACCCAAGTGATGAATTATAATCTATTTATATAAAAAAAAATTAAAGCTCTTTTGATCTGTTATTTTAAAATAGATCCTTCAAGATCATTACATAACTCTCAGTTTACAGTCATAATCGAAAACTTGGATTGCTTAAAACCGCTGCTTATGCTAGCTATGTAGAATCAATCTGCATTTAGATAAAGTCGACAGAAACCTAAAACTAGAAAGTGTAAAAATTAATTAACATAAAATAATTGGGTTAACTAAATAGATCTTTCACGGGCACGGTAAAATCGTATATTTTCTACTACGAAAAGCTTAATACATTAATGCAATGTCATCCGAACCAAAATCTCCTGTCAATGATTTGTTAGCACATACAGTTGGTCAAATCTGATCTCAGTGATTTATTACCTGGTCAGCAGTTATCGTGCATATCTCCGACAGGTTTTTAATTTGGAAGAAGTTAAGGCATTACTGTAATTCAGATTGCGTGATTGTGATGTACGTAGTTAGCACATCCAGTTAGTAATTGAAAAATTCAATAACTTAGACCTTGGCAAGGTTGTAAGTTAATGTTTCATGTGTATGAATCCGTAATGTCTAATAGTCTATATGAAATGGTAAATTGTGACTTTTTAATAACTTGTTGCTGTTTTTTATCTTTAGCGCAATTAAAAACATTTTATGCAAATTTCTTGACTTAAATCTCATATTTTACACGAATTGGCGCCTTCATTTTTCATTAAACTTGAGTTTTAAGCATTAAATTTCTCAAACACTTTTAACCAAAGTTTTTCTGAGCCGAAAATTTATAGTCTAGCGATTTTCTTCTCATATCTAGTGATAAAATTAAGCTGTGAGTTGGCCGTCCTAGTAGCAGAAACTCTTTGTCCAATTCAAAATTGTTACGTTGTAACTCCTGTATATTTTGACACAATCCTCTAGGACTGAGCATTGATAATCTTCTTATTACAAAGCGGTAGCTGTAGTTCCATACGGCCGGACCAACGTATCACTTAATGCATCCGTTGCAAACAGCCAATACCATCGATCATTTAGCCGTTTCATAACCGAGAACGTAGTACAGAGTACTTCTCAAAGGACGACCGAATTATACGTAGAACAGAGTAATCTCCATCCCAGTTTTCATTGAGAAAATCTCGAAAGACGGATCAGAGGATCATCCTCTGAAAGTAATCAGTTTACCAGTGTTTTTCTGTACCTTTATGCCGTACAGACACTTACAAAAGACCAAGGCATTCTCCGAGATTCGAAACCATGCAGAAAGATACCGCGCTTAGCATCATTAACCCTTTCCGGCACGCTACCTTTTAAAGTCGGATTTTTGATTAAAAAAAAGGTAGGCAGGCTAATTAGGCCTAAAGAAGTACACAAGTAAAATTTTCTGAAAATAGCACTTATCGTTTTAATTCTGTGGGTGTGCCCAAAGTGGCACACTGAATTAATAGAGCTTCGAAAAGAATGCTGACACGAACATTGTTGTCAATGAACTGACCAATAAGATGCGGAAAAACAAAGAATACAGACTCTCAGTTGTCCTAGATTATCGGTGAGTCCGGTCTAGGCACATCTAGGGTTCGCCGTTGGATTTTTAGGAAAGATTTCAAGGTAAAAATTTAAAACTAATATAGAATAAGGAGATTAGCATACAGCCAAAAAAAATAATATAGAGATTTCTTTCAAACAACCTTTTTACCCTAAAAAATCTGGAAGATTTCTTTGAAAAATGAGGGTCTTAAAATACTAAACATGGCTAAAATATATGGACTGGTTTGTGTTGAGCTGCCAACTACTATAAATAAAGAACGTTCAGCGTAACCTATCAATCCTTTTTCATTCAATTTTTCTGTGCGTACAGAAGGAAATTTTTAGTTGTGTCCAAACAAAGGGTTAACCACTGTAACAATAACAGCGTCAGAAGCAGCTGATCAACTTTTTTTTTAAGAATGACTAAAACAGTAGGTCGTTTTATAGAAACGATTCTGATAATTAATTTTTATGCGTAAATGGCATATTTCTTGCGGTAATTTACTTCTGCCTGATAGCGTTTATAATTACCTATAGCTGTAGCTCGTATTTTTCATGAAAGTAAATTTTTTCTACAGTCAAGTCAAATTTATCCCATTCCTCTTGGATCGTTTTTTAAAACCCATTCAACTTTCTTCGATGCCGCTTTTCTAAAGCACGTTTCAAGAAGTCGCTAGCGCAAAAAGTCCATAGCAGAAGCATCATTTGATTTTACAGGTATTTCATTAAATGAGATACATTTTATTTTTGTTTCTGATTCTTTCTTTGTCAAATAAGTGGCAGTTGGCTTAGTTGCTACTAGAGGTTTTATTCATATGAAGCTGAAATGTATTGATGTTCTTTCCATATAAGGCTGGAATTTCTTTTTCAAAAATTGGTTCTAAAATACCTGCTGATAGTATAGTGAATTAATTTTATCCTTTTTTGGTGAAATTTAATCTAGAAGCCTAATATACTCAATTAGATTTCGCTTATATTTTTTTAGATTTAAAATAGAATAGATAGAGTAGATATGATGTTGATTTTTTAAATTGAAGTTTTTTTAACTTTAATTCTATTTTGTACTAAAAGCTTAGTTTAATGAGTTTGCGAATTATATATTATTTTTATTTAAGGAAAGAGGAGAAATATTTGTATCACTTTTCATTTCTTTAAATAACTTCAGGGGTAATTGTTTTCGGTGTTATAGCTTTATCTATGGTTTTTTATTGTAAATTTTATCGTTTTATTATTATTGATTTTAGAGTATTACTTACAATTTTATGCAAATAATAGGTCCATTGATATAATACAGATTTTAGTGAAAGATCCGGTTAATCTTCAATTGGGTGTTGGAGATTTTAAAGTATTAGTGAAAAATATGCTTGGCTGTAATTATAAATACGATAATCAGAAAATATAGACTTGCTTCAATATTGAAAGATAGAATTTCTTGATATAATATTCAATTATCACCAATATTCGCCAAATCCCATCCTCGCTCTCCCAGCTAAAGATTAATTAAAGATCTATTCGCATGACTCACTTTCAAGTCCAGTAACCAGAACGATCTTGAAGTTACTGTAAATAATATTTTTAGTAAGCCTACTTTAAATAATTTATTTCCATGCTTTCTCTTTTCAGACCTGAAAACATAAGTATTAGTCAAAATAATTTATTAATTTCCCTTCATTATTTCAAAATTTTTATGAATACAACTTTGATAAAAGCTATAATTCTCTAATGATCAAGGATATTTTTTTGTTTCCAGTTCCAAAGAGAATTACACAGACCACTGGTTCGGTTTGCTGCGATGGAGAGACGATGGCAGTGAGTTTGTAATTATGCATGTTGCAAAACTGATTTTATGATCTGCACTGTTTTCATAAGAATTCTCATCCACTTTAATTTTCGCAACCGTTGGTTGCAAACACATACTTCCAATTAAAAAATAATGCTTTGAATGATTCAAAAAATCATGTTTACGTACTTTTTAAATAAAAAAACTTAATTTTGCGTAAAACATGAAATCTAACTTTTTACACGTTGTCCCACTCTTTTCTTATATTTAGGAAACTTTTACGTTCATTATAAAAACTAGAACACAATATGTTTGACTCCTATACGATAAAAATTTAAAAAGACATTAAAATTAAAATTTTTTAATTTTTGGCATTATTTTCAACTTGTAATAAATAAATTAGAAGAATTCTAGGATCATTTATTTTCCCTTAACTGCCATTCCATGATATTCTTTTGTTTTTTGCTAATGTATAATGCTCTTTAATTTATAATTTTGTTACAACTTGTATGCCGAAAGAATTTTCACACAAATAATGTATAAGTTTTAAAACGTTAAAAATACGTGATTAATACTTTCAGGCAATTTTATTATTTCTGAATCTCGATCTAGAAGTCACGTCAAAATTAATTAAACTAGGAATATTCTTAATTCTTTAGTTTATACAAAACACATTACAAATTGGTAGTTGACGATATTGAAACCCGCCAATATATTCTAGAATAAGAATTCTGTAAGATTTCTCGAATAAAATTTTTGTTTGAAAAAAAATATATATATTGCTTAATACTTTTCACAATAATTCAAATAACCCAATAATTTTTTTGGAAATAATATTTTATCTTCAGTGCATATTCAAACACATTACATTATTGGCTTTTAAAATACATATATTGGTTAATTTGGGCCATAAGAGAGTCAAATTTTTAATTTTACTTTTTATAGTGTACACTACATTTTTCATTTTGTTTTTTATGTTTAGTATAACATTTTCTTAAATAACAGTATAGGACTGAGGGAAAGTATAAAGCATTAAATGTCATAATTTCTACAAAATTGATTTCTATTTCATATTAATTGCCAAAATATGAATGCTTGCATCATTGAAAACACTTTTGTATCTGGAAATATGTGTCTAAGGATCAAGGGTTTTGAAACTAAAAGTAGGTTAAGGACTTTTATGGACATGGGGCATATACCCATCTTACTCACTGGCATGTTTTCCTCTATTTTCACAAATTTTTATAAGAAAATTGGGAAGGAAAATTATGTTAGAATTCAACTTCCGAAGGGAAGGCCGCGATCACATAACATAGCAAATGATAAAGGAGGTACTCATGGATAAACTACCGGTAACTATTATTATACCTTTTATGTAGAAGAAACCCACATTCCAACAAAAAACATAGTATCAATATCTAATAAGATATTTTTATTTTTTTCTTGTATTCTGAGTCTCGTCCGCCTCATATTGATCATTCTGTGCACCTACTCATGCTAACAAATACGATCTCCTGTAACAAACACGTGTATTATGCACTCATTCTTTTGCCGTATTTTCTGACAGTCCGACAGTTGTTCAAAGAACAAGTCTGGAGCATTTGAAAGTCCAAGCAATAAAACGACTATCAGTATCTCCTTCCGATGAGATTGAACTTTTGAGGACCTATAAAAAGCAAAACTAGTGATGTCATCCACAAACATATCTTTTATTATTATAGAAATGCCTATAATAATTACACCCCATTATACACTAAACGCTCTGGGTTCTATGATTACGTCCGTGTAGTGTGTTCAGAATGAGTTTCAGAGAGCACTGTTGTCTATACACAGGAGAGTAATTCCATGTTTTTTACATAAGAAAGTTTATTATTTGTAAATACTGATTAATTATTACAAAATCAGTAGGATATTTGTCGAATGATAACAAATGCATTAATTAAAAATTCTCAAATTTAGTTTTCAGTTTCAGTGATACAGGATATCAAACCTATTATTGATAGTGATAACTACGAGATCATTTTGGCAACTAAACTAGTAGATATCACGCTAATTTCTGCAGTTCAGATATCTAGCCAATCCTTCCCATTTCAAGAAATCAAAACTATCATGAAAAGCACGAAACTAGCAATAAAAGAGAAACTTCCTGGAGTGCACTTCCAATAATAAATTACGAAGAATTATATTAGAATATTTAGAGATCAAGGTAAATCGGAAAGAAGGAACTCTGACATATTCAAAAATCGCCACTCAGTTTTAACAAATTGTTATGAAATACCCAGCCATTATGATACAACTTCAAAAGATAATACTCAGAGAGCTGAATTATTGCATAATTTTTATTTAGGAAAGAAAAATTATTATATATATATATATATATATATACAGTCATTTAACACACATACACCGTAAATAGCATAACATTACGTAGAATAAGGCGTTAGTGCATACAAGGAAGTCCGTTAGTAAGCGGAACTTATTGAACCTACTTTAGTAAACTCTACTGTTTGAGTAACAGTTGTTACTAGAGTTGTCTTACACCTTCTTTTGAGCCGAAGGGAGCAAAAATTGTGTTTTTCAAAAATTAGAGCTACGTAAGTGATATATATATTCGAACACAAACACATACAATTATGACTTTTTATAAATAAAAATTTTGCAATTATTCAGTTGTCTTAATATGGCGAAACGTGTTAAGTACAAGTGTTTACAAAGACAGGTCCAATACCGATTAGAACTGGTGCATCTCACTAGCCAGACGTTATCAGTTCTGTTGAAATACAGTCGTAACCGTCACATGATTATATGGCATATCGGCAAAAGCTGGATTCCGAAAGACGGAAGCGATATAGAGGTGACCAAAAACAGGTCAGTTACCGTGACATTATATGAGTTGTTTATTTTTTTCCTCAAATTGTCATTGTTGCGAAACTGAAAATTAGGGTTTTTTTTAAAACTTTTAAGCTTTACTTTCTCATGGTGCCAGACAAACACTTAAAATAAATATTCATGTTTTAAACTTTACACCTTAACTGACTTATGGTGCCTGAAAACTAACTAAAAAGGAAATTCATCATACACCATAGCGTATAGTGGTAGTACAATAAATGTTAGGTTCGCGTTGTGAGTAAACCTACGCAAAAAAGGAAAAATCAATAACTCCAAATTCAATAAAGGTCCATGTTTCTTAAAAGCCCTCAAACAAATGGAAGGACTTGACAGATCCTATCCCCCCAAAAAAAAATATACTCACAAATGATAAATGAATGCAATAAAATTATAAGACAAACACATTTATTAATTTTCTTTAATATTATTATATCTCTAAATAATAGATAACTGATCAGTCAAACTTACCACATATTTAACTATAAACGGTAACACATAATGCCACACACAATTCAGCTTGCAATAATTAATAAACCTTAAGATGATAATTAACACATATCTCGTTCCAAATTAAAGTACTCATGTTAATATGTAAGTTTAATATTTTTGACAAAGTCACTTAATTAAGCTGGTAAAACCAATCCTTAAACCTTCATTCACAGACTTTAAATTAACTGGTCATTATTCAAAATATTCTAATCACTGAGTAGTTTACACATATTTTTTTTTCTTCTAAGTAATTTGAAAAGGTAGAGAGATAGCCAAAATTAAAAAAAATCACTCAGAATTTCCGGAACATAATCCTTCTACTTACAGAGAAAAGTCTCTTTCCTTTTCGTGAATTCATTTCTTAGATTTCTTCCGAAACATGCAATCCTTCTAGTCACAGGGAAAAGTCTCTTTCCTTTCCTTGATTTCATCTCTTAGATTTCTTAGAAACATTACAATTCTTCTACTCGCAGAGAAAACTCTCTTTCCTTTTCGTGGATTCATGTCTTAGATTTCTTCCGAAACATACAATGCTTTTATTCACCGAAAAACTCTCTTTCCTTTCCTTGAAGTCACGACTCTGTTGCGGGAGGTAGTACACATAACCGGTAAATTGGTGAGCATTAGTAATCCAAACCTCGTCTTTCATATTTTCCTTTGACCTCCGAAATACCGTTGTCGAAACTCGCACCGCGACGGATACTCCACACGGATTTTAAAGTGATTTCGCCCTCAACGCTGCGTTCATAACAGCAGAGAGTTCTCAAAGAAATAAAGAAGATACCAGAAGTAAACAGTGCTAAAGGTTGTCGCTAAAGTACTCACTTTATTTTGAATCTTTCTAGAAGAAAATGCTCTTCTAGTAGCCTAGTCAACGCAATCCCTACTCGCTTGGGCCGAAGCCAGCCGCGGGCTGAAACCTCCAGCGCACTCTTACGCGACTTAAATGCTTTAACTCAAATCACTCCATATCGGACTCCGCTCCGAAATCTGAATCAACAGACGGCGCTCGCCCCTCAAAGGGGGAGTCCCGCCACCGCTTTTTGCTTCTCCGTTTTGCTCAAAATCAGAATCAAGACTCCCGACTAAATACTGATTTCTTACAATGTGCAGCCTCCGAGGTAAACTCGTCTCTCCGCCCGCGAAAATTTCATAGGCTTACAAAAAATCACAAAATTAAATCTCACTAATCTTAGAATTTTACTTTATCTTTAACTGAGAAATTTCACTCCCACAACGAATCAAAACAAGGCAATCCGGACAATGCAGTCCTGACCATCTGTACTCTGAAACTTGGGAAAGTAAAGTTGACCCCCCAGCTAACAAGCGGGAACTAGCGATAGAAAAAATCCACTTACCTAAACTTACAAAATCTCCCACTGTCTTGACGGAAAAAATTGCAACTATAACAAGACGAAAGTAAGTGAAAATGAGAAAGCCGATTTACAATTTTCGTTTCAGCGCCATCAGTAAAAAGGCCCCCAGCGAAGAAAACGACAACACCGTAACTGCTTCCACTGTTAGTAAAAAGCCATAAACCAGGTGTCTACTCGCAACGGTTTCTTGTCTCTGTTACTCTACAGATTCAAGAACTACCAGCTAAATAATGCTTTAACAATTTAAGAATACTCTTTTTACCAGATTAAAATATACATGAGTGCAAATAAAAAGATACTTAAAACAAATATTAATATAATTAAAATTCGCGACACAACAGCATGAACTGCCTGATACCTCTGCTTTGAGGTGCGGACCGGATAATCCACTTTTATGTTATAGAAGTCACAAATAATTTAAAGCTTTGCTTGTCTTAAAAATTCTCTTTTTAGTCCAAAGGGATTTGAATCCCGAAGGACTATTAGTTTCGTTTCGGCATTTTGCGTCGGACTCATAAATGTCGGTTCACTTTTCAAACTGTTGCCACAAAATGTTAGAGTCCTGCATTATATTTGAAGAAATTAAATAATGAAAAATCTGCATAAATGTATGTATATTTCTCGTATTGTGATAAAACAACGGTACATAGAGTCATCGAATTTTGAATAACGTAATCCTCCTCCAACGAATATGAGCATGTGGAAGACCAAATTTGAAATTTGAAATTTGTTTTATATGATCGATTTCCTATTTTTTAAAACTTTGACGAATTTTTGATTAACAAACTCAAGGATTTCAAAGCGAGCAATGGCAACGTTGTGCAGAAAAAACATTTTTATCTCCAGCGCGTGAGTCTCTGTATCGGAAATTCTAAAGATATGCTCGTTTTAAAACTATTTTGCGATATTGCTGTTGCACTGGATCTTATGGTTTAAGTGCGAGGAACATGATATTTAATAAAGAAAGGTAACACACAAAATGTTAAAAAACGCCCCTTTGGACGTAATTTAAAATCTGAAACATTTCAGATTTTGTTTTTTTTTAAATTTCTTTTAATAACAAAATAAAATATATTTGCTAAACTAATCCTACATCACTAATGTTTCCATAAAAAGTACAATTCAAGAATAACAATACTTTTTATTGCATGATTCAGATTTTTCATGACAGGGAAAGGAAATTTCAATAGTGGAAGGAGCGAAAGGATTTTATAAGGGAATAAATGTAGCATGATATGTTGAGTAAAATAGTAATGAAACGTAAAGGTATTAGAAATTTCAGACATTAGAAATAACGGATTGGAAAATTAATATCATTACGTAAACAACTAAAATTATTACTGACGTGAAAGTGTTCAAAGGAACCCAGTTGAGTAAATGAAGAAACTTTACGGATTTTTTGCAGATCCCATATTAAAATGTAACTAAGTGACGGTCGTACTTAGCTAAAAAAATTCTTTTTCCTTGCGAAAATTAATTCATATACTCTGACGATAAATTTCAACGCTTTTCCAATTTGTCTAATATACACAAAATATTCATAAATAGCACGATATATGTCAAACTATGCTAAATTACACAAGAATTAAAAGCACATATGGGATCTTTAAGAATCGAAAAATGAATTTTGCTGATAGGTGAAAATATGACTTAAATATTGAACTTATGAAGAAGTCGAGAAATTTTCTAATAGATAATAAGTTTAAATATTAATTAGGTACGTTTTAGCTAAACGTCACTCTCAACTTAATGTCCTGTTGACTAAATATCTTGTCAGTTAAATGTCCCGTAGCTAAATGCCCTGACGGCTAACTCTCTCTGGCTGCTAAATGTTCTGTCGGTTAACTGTCCGTGTCGGCTAAATGTCCATGTCGACTAAATGCCTTGTTGGCTAACTCGTGTCGGCTAAATGTCTCGTCAGCTAAGTGTCACGGACCCAGTTCTGGACACATGTTGGTAATTAATGCTAGACGTGCCGCTGAAAATTACATCCATGACATCAAGTGAAAATTTTTAAAAAATGAGGCTGAAGTGGAAAGCTATATGATTTGAATTTGTGAGAGTGACTAACACTAAACGTATATGAAATAGTTCAATATATCAGAAATTTGGCTTGAAAGAGGAACCTAATTAAAAGCCTGCACCTTACAAGAAAAAACCATTTTTTAATTCCATATACTTTACATGAATGACTAAATTTCATAGTAAATATAGTGTAATCAAACCACAGATCTCATTCTGTTAAATTATACCTTTATAGAGAAAAGTATCATGATCCTATATTACTGCTTTAAAATGACTTTTCTGCTAATCTTTTAGAAGTGGAAATCTTAGAGAATTCTAGCTAAAGATTCTGCAGCTCAGAAAGATAAATCTAAAGTAAACCCTCTATATCTTCGGTATCTTGTAATAATTATTTTTTTATTTTTAAATATCTAGGATTTTAATTTGAGGCTTTGAAAAATCTGTTAAAAATATTTATTAAAAGACAATTTTCTCAGAAAGTTTTTTTTTAAATATATCACAATCTATTTGAAAAGCTTTAAAATAAAAATGCTTATGAAACTATACGCTGAGAGATTATCTATCTCTCTAGCATCTGATTTATGAGTTTTCGTTTAATGGTAACAACGTAAAATATATTTACAGCTAGGAAAGTGAGTAAAACGAATAATACTCAAATTAGTAACTTCACCTAACTTCCTTCCTTGAAATGCATAATATAGTAGTACTGATGAACTCTTTTTTTAAAAAAGAAAAAAGGTAACAAATACAAGGGGTGATCAAATGAAAACGTACGAAACGACGTAAAAACGTAACAGTTAAATATTTGCATATTCCGCTATGGGAGAACATAGCGAGACATCTCGGGATGCGATTGGAGTCTCTGGCTGGGATCGGAGCATGCGTGGGCGCCCGCATGCGCAAGAGAGAGCAGAGGCTCTTATCAAAAGTGGCGCCCAAATGATGCCGCAGTCCGTATGAGGAGAGGATGGCGTTCGCGATGCAAAATTCGACGACTGAGGAGCAGCAAGGTGTTATCCGATTTCTGACAACGGAAGGTGGGAAACCGGAAGCTATTCATCGCCGGATGGTGATAGTTTACAGGGAGAAATGTGTCTCTGACATGTCTGTCAGAAAATGGAGTGTCCGTTTCTGTGCAGGCCGTGAGAATGTGGGTGATGACCCGAGACCAGGCCAGGCAAACACTGTCATCACGAGCGATCTCATCGGAAAGGTGCACAACCTAGTGAGAAGTGATCGGCGTGTCACATTGCAAATGTTGGCGGTGAAGGTGGATGTCAGCTGTGGAACAGTGTGGGCAATTGTTCACGACAGGTTGCGATATCGGAAGGTGTGTGCCGCTTGGGTTCCGAAGCAGCTCACCGACCAGCAAAAGGAACTGCGTATGGGGCTAGCACTGCAACATCTGTTTGGGTATCAGGAAGACCCCGCTTTCATGGAGCGGATCGTCACAGGTGATGAGACCTGGTGCCATCACTACGAGCTAGAGACAAAGCGGGACAGCATGCGGTGGAAGCATGCGTCGTCACCTTCCCTTAAAAAGTTCAAAGCAGGCGAGGTGTTGCTTACCGTCTTTTTCGACGTTCAAGGTCCGCTACTTGTCGAATTCCTCGAGCACAGAAAAACCATTAACTCCGATGTGTGAGACACTTCGATGCCTACGCAGGTCCATCAAGAACAAAAGACCGGGGCTGCTCATGGAGGGTGTGGTTCTGCTTCACGATAACGCGCATACACACGTCTCCAGAGTCACACACATGGAACTGGCCAAGTTCAAGTGGGAAACGTTGGACCATCCGCCCTGCAGTCCGGACATGTCGCCCTGCGATTTCCATGTGTTTGGTCCACTTAAAAACACCTGAAAGGAAAGCGCTTCAACTCGGACGACATATTCAAGAACGCTGTGGAGGACTGGGTCTCGTCACGGCCACAGGAATTCTGGGAACAAGGATTCCTGCGGCTTGTTCTTCAGTGGGATCGTTGTGCTCAGGCCTATGGTGTATATTTTGAATAAAGTCTACATTTTTATTCACCGTGTCGTTTCGCACCTTTTCATTTGATCACCCCTTATACTTTAAAATAAGATAAACGAGAGCTTTGGTGATAGTTATTGTTTATAAAAGTATAATTTTATGACTTAATATCTGGAAACATTAATATTTTTTCTCAATTGTAAAAGATTGAGTTAATGTATCTGGCATCAATAGAGAATATTATGGTTTTAGAGAATGTGATAGTGCTTGCTATGATAAAATGTTTCTCTTTGTGAAATTCGCTTTTAGAGTTCCGCTGGGTAGATGGATCGCCAGTCACTTATACAAACTGGAAAGTAGATGAACCCAGAGTTGAGATGGAGACACATTTCTGCGTGAAGTATAGCGAGGATTCTGAAACATGGATGCTAGATTATTGTGGAAAGAGAAAACGGTTTCTCTGTGCAGCGCCATTAGGTATCAAAGTAAAATTTACGTTTTATTATTTTTTGTAGCTAGCATGTACACTGTATAGTAACAGTAAAAGCCGTTGCAAGTCACCAATTATTATTATCAATCTTAATATTTCCAGTTTCTGGAAAAAAGTCATTTAGAGTTCAAAACGTCTGCTCTAGTTAACATAAATAACAATGCAAAACCGGTAAAAGTTTACAATTGGGTACCAATTGTTTCTTGGCGATTCTTTTTTGACGCCAAGATAGGCGCCAGGAAGGCACAATTTCAAGATGACCGCTACATAAAACCAAAATAAGAAGTCAAAGAATTGCACAGACTCTGTGTCCATGTACACATAGATCTGTTTTCACTTAAAAAAACATCCTAGAATTGCACAAACTAGGCATTGCGCACTGCCTTCAATTTGTCCATGTACACATCAATCTATTTTCATTTAAATAAAATCAGGAAGCTAAAACAAAGTTAAAACTATCATGGTAACCAGAAGCGAGGTTTCACTGCCAAAATTTAAAAAAAAATTGTCGCTAATCGAAGGGGCACCCAATTCTCAGTTTATCCTCAGAAAAGGAACACCAATATACATTTATGTCTATGTTTTTGTAATTAATTAGCAGTTTATATTAAATGTTTCTAATATATATAACTGTACATGCTAGTCGGCATTCAATAGCTATACAAATGCTTTGATAGAATAACTATTTCTTCATTCATAAAAAGCCAAAGAAATTTACAAAACCAGATAAAAATATTAAAAAAAAACGACGAATAATGAAATACGAAAATAATTAAACTGCAAATTAAAAAAAAATCTCAGATTAAAAGCTGGCCATTTTCTCTTTGCATCTTAAGTGCTATGATATTAAAATACGCAGTACTAATGATTAAAACCTGCAAGTCAAATACAATATACCAGTAAAATTCAAAATAAGGTGCTAATCTTCTATTAAAATTATCTCGAAACCCACTTTTTCTTCGAATCACTTTTCAAATTGTTGTCACCAAATGTTATCGCCATGTATTATTTTAATAAAACTAAATAATGAAAAATCTGCATATTGTGGAAAATGATAGTACCTAGAACCAGGGAAATCTTAACACTCGTAGTCCTCCACCTGAACTTGAGTACCTCGGAACCCGAATTCTGAATTTCGAATTTTTTTGGTTTATTCCCCATTTCGTACAAATTTAACGATTTTTTATGTAACAAATTCAGCAATCTGAAAGTAACAACTAGCAATACTGTTCGAAATAAAACATTTTTCTTTTCCCTGGCCAAACTATTGCCATTCGACAAAAGATACCAGACATTCAATTCTAATACACAAATTCCACTATTTCAAAGTAATGGGTTGCCATTTCTTCAAACAGAATTCTTAATATCTCCATGCACCAGCGTGTTGCCATTTAATAAAGCGTAAGATATTTAACTTCCAAATTTAATTTTCTGTTACTGACTCGCAAACCAAGTGATTGAAAAGCAAGAAACACAGTTTTTAAAAATACGCAGCTCTTTTCCTGTTTTTAAAAGATGTAACAAGATTTTTTTGTAAATTGCAAGATGTGGAACTAGAAATATTCAATATTTTTATAAAATGACACTCATTGGACTCTTTAAAATCATTATATGGTTTTCTCTTTTCATGATAACTCTTTTAGGTGGTTGGACGCCCCAGAGTCTAGATTTCAGAGAAATAATATAATAAATATTTTTAAAATGTATAGTAGCCCCTATACGTTATTGGGAGTTCAAAAGATATGCTGTTTTCAAATATTTTGTGATTTTGTTCTTGAATTTTATTTGGCGTAAGGGCAAATAACGCGATAATTAATAATAAAGCTAAAAAGAACAAAAAGTATTAGCAGCAGTTAGTGAGTACAAGCGCAGATGGATGAACTGAGCGAGAGCATAAAAACTTTCATTAATTTTCTGTACGACACTGAAATCTGAATTCTTTCAGATTTTTTTATTTCTTTTTCGTTTACATTAACTTCGCTTCTGAAGATTTAGCTTTCGATACAAATATTTTTCAATAATTTTATGAAAGGAATAATTTTTATGACACTAAAGTAATTTAAAGCCGAATGAATTAAATTAAAAGCTAACTATTCAGATGCTTCCCAAATGGCGATATTTTATTGCAATTTTTATCACAGAAAACAGAGGTTAATTTCTAAAGCACTGCTGTGGACAGACAGAAACAAGGACAGGAAAGCAATGATTTTGACAGAAACGAGGAAGGTTAATTTCTGAAGCTTTGTTATGATTGGCAAATGAGACTATGACCTCAAAAGGTAGCCTGAAGTGGTTACCACCTCAAGTGGTAATTTATTTACCATCTCAGGTGATAGTCTCATGACCAAACACAGCATTGTTTCAATAATAAATCTTCCTTATTTTTTTCCTTACCTTATTATTAAATCTTCCTGTCAAAACATTTTTTATAAAAAAATATGTTGATGAATATCACGAGCATACTATCTTAGGTGATCCCAATAATATTGAAAGCCATCTGTTTAATGAACTCATAAATTTTGGCATTAAATTCAAAATAAATGTCAATTCTGAAAAAAAAAAAAAATAACCATTATTTATGAAAAAAAAAAAAAAAAAAGTTGCAAATTTATTCTTTCGGGGAATGGAAGCAACAGCATTAAAAAAATTAATAAACTTTACTTCATTAAAGCACTAAATAAAGGTTGTCAGAGGCCGAGCTGTAAAGTCGCTGCACACTGCGACTTTATAGCTCCGGGGCTTCGAATCCCGGCGAACGAGCTGTTTTGTATTCGTTTTATATATACAGAGTGTCCACCAAAGCCCGGTACCACCCGTTTAACTGCGAACGACTGCAGCTATATTCATAAAAGTGGTGTCGAGCAATAGTAAAATGGCTATGCGCTACTAGATGAGATAGCTTTCAACGCCACTTGATCACACCACTTTCACCACTTTCACACCACTTTCACACCACTTTCACCACCACTTTCACCACCACCACTTTCACCGCTACTAGATGAGATAGCTTCCAACTAGTGGAAAACAGCAGAGTTAGCGTCCCTATCTCGAAAACGATATAAGATAGGAAGAAAAAGTGAATTACAAAGTTGTAGAGCATCTTCAATTTACTACCAAATGACACCTTGTGAATATGAATACTAAAAACACAGCGCTGAAAACGCACATTTGTTTTTCCGCGATTTCCGAAACTGTTACGTCATGAAACTTAAATAAAAGGAGAAAAGATTATCTTACGGATGAAAAACATGCTCGTATTGCGCCACAGTGATGTCGCTTGTAATTCACAGTCGAGAGGATTGTGGTTAAAACCCCGCGGGGTGCATCCTTGTACTGATTAACTTTACAAGCAGAGTAGACAACATACAGATCGCGCACAATCGTGTCGCAAAACGCATCAACTCAACACAACTTGAGCTTCGGCGCGGTTGCATCGGCAACGTTTTCCTGCAGAGCCGCATCCTTCATACAAAACCTTAAGGCGGCGTGACTAGCCGACTTCGATCCGCAGACCAGCTAAAATAGAACGGAAAGTGCAACCCGAAGATACTTATCATGGGATTTCACACAGCACAATAAAGATAAGTGAAAAGTGTTACTGGGCACTTGAAAATTCATCATGTTCTGCCGAAGTTTGACATCAAATACGGTTTTCAATTAATTTTTGGTGTTGAATTTATAATAACAGGCTGATCGGCTCAGTAGTTTACCAAGGTACGTTAAAGGCTGCATAATATTTAGAACTTCTGCAAGACCTAATACCAGATTTTGTTGAGAACCTGCCGTTGCTTCAACTCCCGAATGGATGGTTTCAACATGACGTCGCAAGTGAATGAGTACCTGATGGAGGAATTCGGAGAACGAATAATTGGGTACGTTGGTTTCGAAGAGTGGTCTCCACATTCACCTGACTGAGTCCAACGGACTTTCCTGATGTATGTGTAAACAGCAGATGTATGTGACCCCTCCACAAACATTGCAGGACCTTCAACGACGTATTACAGATGCTTATGCAAACGTGTCACCCGCTATGCTACAAAGAGCAGCATGAAGTTCTAACAAGGGGTTTAGATGTGCATTTCAGCTGATGAAGAGAAGTTTAAAACATCGAAAATAAAGGTAGCTTGTGATAACTAGTTGTGTTTTTCTTTCTAAGATCGTTTCGTGGCGTCACAGTTTCGGAAATTGCGAACAAACAGATGTGCGTTTAAAACGTTCTGTTATTAGCATTCATGACCATGAGGTTTCTTACTACGTACTAAATCGACGATGGTCTTCGTAATTCACGTTTTCTTCCTATCACGTATCATTTTCGAGAGAGAAACGCTAACTCGACTGTTATCTACCAGGTGGCTCTGAAAGCTATATTTTCTAGTAGCGCATAGCCAATTTACTATACCTGGACACCAGTTTGACTATAGCCGCAGACGTTCGGCATTTAAGAAAGTGGTACTGGACTTTAGTGGGCACCCTGTATATATACAAAACGGAATAAAGTATATACGATGGAATTTTGCGAACATTTAGGCGTCGTTAAGATGTCGTGATACAATGTTTTCACAAGCAAAATATCACCTGCGAAAGATGCAATAACGAACGTCTATACGAGAAAAACCTCATCTGAAAAGACGTCTTTGCAACAGTTGAAAAACAGTGGAGTTTCGCGGACATCTGGGCATCTTAAAGAAGACATATTGCAACGCTTTTGCAACATAACTCGCGACCAGTTTGCAACGTCTTTGCGATGTTGCCGTGCTACTTGGGAGAGTAAGGTCATAAATGAATTCGTTAAATGCAGGAATGTTGTTAGCCAAAAGGAAACAATAGACTCTAAGAGTTTACGACAAATTTATTAATGAAAAGGCAAGAATACATGTTTACAGAGAAAACACTGATAGTGAAAAAGAGGAGCTTCATGAAAGAAAATATTTACGGATGATTAACTCATAAGTTGGTTCGATATGCCCTCCGCCTTACTCAACTACTAGTTGGAAGTGAAAAATGGCATGTTTTATAACAGTTTAGAGGTTATCTGTCTTGATGCTATGTTTATGATGAGTGGTGCTGATTCCCACTATGAACAACATTCTTCGGGTATCCTCAAAGCCAGAAATCACATGGATTTAAGTCGGGGGAACAGGGAGCCACGCTGTTGGGAAACGGCGGCTTGTGATTTTATGATTTTCGAAATAAGAGACCAGCAGCTGCTTCACACAAGTAGCATCCATTTTGAATGAATATTGTGCGGTCCACACATTGACGCGGCTGAAATGTCGCAAGGGCATGGTTATGCAAAAGTACTTCATACGGCCAGTAACGGTGGATGTAACGGAACCCGTGGGTGTGATCTCCTTGAAGAAGAACGAACCATGAAAAATGCTGCCGTCAATCTGCACCATACAGTGACCTTTTTAGACTGAAGAGGTAATGACTGTAGTGGAAATGATTTCTCTATCACCTATATCCTGCAATTTTGTATATTTACAGAATCTTGCAATTGGAAATGGGCTTCTCAAGACCATAGAATGTTCTATCCACTGTTTACTTCCATTCGGGCAAGAAATTGTAGTGCAGACAATTTCCCCGTGCATTGCTGATTCCTGTTTGTCTATTCCTATAACGTTGTGGCCACATCTTCCACTGCCACCGCCAAAACAAGTTTTTGCCCTCTACCTCGTTCCACGTCAAATGAACCGTTCTCTTCGAATTGATCTATCATTTTCCGACAGCCTTAAATGGTCATTGGGCCAGATTTTATGCCTTTTAATGTCCGTAACTTCCTGATAGCTGTTAATGCACAGTCACCGTTCTAAGAGAAAAGCTTCGCGAGCAGAGCACGATTAGTCTTTGTCAGAGTCGTGATGAAGTATTCAGGCAAAGTATTTTGTGCCCCCACTAGTTTTCTGCCATTTTATCACAGCTATGTCTGCTGTATGCATGTCACGTCTTAACAATGTGCATACGTCCACAACAGCAATGTGAACGTTAAAAGCGCCATTGCTTCCCGATTGTTCTAGTAAAATATCAAGTCATTTTGACTGGTAGTTTTAAAGTCAGAGGGTTTTGAAATCGCAACTTTAATTATAATCACCCTGTATATTGTATATTTATACATATATATAGATATTAAAAGATAAATTCTAGTATGAGCGCTAAAAAGCTGCTTAAATACTGTGGTTCCGTGTAAACTTAAGCAAAACTAGTTGCAATAAAATGTGTTAAAAGAGAAAAATATAACATTTGATTATTTACAAGTAAAAGTCAACAATAATAGTTGTTCTTTCTACTTTACTTTAAATCATACATATATATATACATTACAAATATATAAAATAATAAATAAATATAGCTAGGCATGATAAGTGATATGTAAAATGCTAAATGTGTTAAGATTCTAATGTTGTGCATTTATAACAAGCTTGTTTTTTTTTAATATTAATTTTCTTTATTAAATTCTAGGGAGAAACACGATTGAACCAAATTTCTCCTTTCTGACAAGTAAGTTCGTTTCGTTTCCTTTCTTTCTCTATCAAATATTATTATTATCAAACTTTAACAAATATGTATCTGCAGCTTATACATATTTTCTTTGTTATAATTCTGTAAGAAAGTAATTTATGTTGATTTTATGTGAGCATTGTGTTATGTAAAATATTACTGTATTATGATATTTTAGATAAGCTAGGAACAAATACGATCCCTAAAAGGAAGTTTATTAAAGAGCAAGATATCCAAAGCATAAATAAAATTACTCTAACATAATGCAGACTCTGGCAGTAAAACTACTTTAATATGAGAAAAAGTATCTATTGTGGAAGATTTCAAAACTTTGTCTAAATGAATACATTTTAAATTCCCTGCAGTAGACCCATCATTTATATTCAAGAACCGAATTGATGAAATACTCCATTCTCATACAATCAGAATTACTCAAGCTCTCCTTAATTAAATTTGGAAGTATATATGTAGATATTATTAAAGGCAGCTAAAGGTTTTCCCCACTTTATTAGAACAGCTTTCCTGCGAAAAGGCAACCGTCATTAATTCATATGGGAAACGACTTTGAATGTATTTTGGAGCTTCGAATGTATCTAGCAAATCCTTTTATGTACATCCTAAAAAATATTGAAATTAAAACATATTAAAAGCACACATCATGTCAACGGAAATAAGATACATAGGTAGTTTCGACTATTTAATTTGTAAAGACAGCGAGTTGGTTAAAAAGCAGTAAGTATATCAAAAGTGGCAGTGGAGGTAATACATCAAAATTGGCAGTGAAGATGATGCGTTGATTCATCTAATATTTTATAATGGTAGATACAGCACTTGTAATATATATGAAAGGCAACAAAGGTCACCTAACAATACCTTATTATCGATTGGTGCCGGTGAGATTACTGTGCTTACGATTCACACCATCTGCCTGGCCCAGTTTTAGCAGTTAAAATTTGTTTCCATCTAGCTCATGAGAAAAGATTTAAATAGGCCGTTGAAATCCACAAACCTTTTCTTCTTCATACTCTTGACTTAATTTTTCGAAGATGTCTCGAGAGAACTACGATCTTCCTGCAGTAAGAACAAATGCTGAACCATTCTTTCCCTTTCCAGGTTTTTCATAAAAGAGAAATTTTTTGTATTTCTTTCGTCAACTGAAAAATGGTACCAGTTTAAATCTTTTATTAAAGCAATGATTTGTAAAGCAATCATTCATAAAGTAAGAAAACATTTGGATTTGTGCGCTACGTTTTATGAATTCAGGTTTTATGAACCGTCTTCTTCTTAAGAGTTTATTTACACATTGTTTTTTATGTATGGGCACTGATTGATAAAGCAATATAATGAAATTCTTCAAGAAAATGGGACTATTTAATACTTTTTTATGATTCAGAAGATCATTTCATGTAGGAAGACAGATTATAAACCATGTGTATGTATAGTATTGAGCGGTAGTATATGACTAGTATGTGAGCGATACAAATCATCACAGAATCTGTAAATCATTACAGAATTCTTTGAAGAAGAAGCAATAATATGTTAGGTGATTTATGAAAACGGCAATATCTAATACTTTTGATCACGCTGAACATCACTGCATGTGGGAAGATAGATTGAACGGTGATGAAGATGATAACAATAGTGCCGATGACGACAACTTAGAAACTGCAGCAGATGACATAAGCAGCAGTTCCAGTAGTATTAAATGATTTGAGGCCTAGAGTATAGCAGTGGATAAGAATAACAGTGGGTGAGATTCAACATATAGAAAGTATAAATGAAGATATTGTAATGTTAAAGGGTTACATGGGTTTCATCCGAGTAAAAACGGCGTATTTTCAAGATTTTTTTCATATAATAAATGAAATATTTAATTCAATTTTTTTATTATCTTAAAGGTACATATTTAATAAACAATTTCTGAAATTTTTGAAAAAAATATTAAAAACTCCACCATTGTGACGTCATTCCCGACGAGCCCTCGGAAAAAAGGTGCATTCGCGTTGACAGGAGAACTCCTAGCAAGATAATCTGAAGTGAAAAAAAAATCCGTGTTTTAGTTAAGGCTTCAAACTAGAAATTAGACGAAGGAAAAAAATGAAAATTAAATGTTTGACAGCGGTTTTTACATAAAAATGCAGAATTCGATAAAAATTTCGTGGTATTTTGAAAAAAAAAAAAAAAAATAGTTGCAATTGAAAAAAAAAATCCTTCGTCGAAGTCCTTGTAATTTTTATCTCGAAGACCCGCTTAAAATTTCATCGAAATCAGTGGAGTAGTCTTCGAGAAATCTTGACAACCGACTTTAAAAACATAGTTTTGAGAAAAACGCGTTTAAACGATTGACCATAAAACAGAAAAAAAAATTTTTTTTTTTTTTGGATTACATTGAATCGTCGATTCCTGGGCCATAAAGTAATGGACCTGCTGCAGCTGCAATGTCCTCGGCTTCCTTTTGTTTCTACCTATGACGAATCCTGGCTTCACGAGTCTCGTTTGCAGGTTTTTTCTCGGCGGCGCAGATACGGTTTTCGTCAGCGTTTCGGGCATATTCGTGGGAACTTGGGCCAAGTTTTAAATCCATACATTGCATAATTAATAATAATGGTGATGTTCCTTCATTAAAAATTAAAGCATCAGTCAATGCAGCAATATCAACGATCTTGGAACCAGCTGGAAGTATTTTTGGAGCAATTTTCCAGATCAACTAGTTGTAACTTTCGTTGCTATTTTGTGTAAAACCACCAACACATCGCTACAAAATCTCATCCTTACTCAGATCTTCGTAAGTAGGTTTCATTGCAGTCAAAACATCATCTGGTAATGGTGTATAATCGTTGTTTGAACGATGAAAGAGTGTTTGTTGCTGATGCTCGTTGCCAGGCACACCAGGAGTCTGAACCTTTCGGACAATTTCGTGCTGAGGTTTTTTATCTGTCGAGCTGTAGTGATAAAACGTAGCCCAAATAGCGTTTTTCATTTTTTCTACTGAGTCACAGTTTCTTCTGATTGCTAAACCATAATAAATAGTTAGTTTATCAATCAATTTACTCGTTAGTTTACCTTTGCCAGAAAGAGTTTTTTTACTAATTTTTTTACCTTTTACAATTTTTTCCTCAACTGTTTTCTTCACTAAGTCCCGTAAACAGGTGCCCATCCTCTTCTGTATATGTCCAACACATTCTTTCTTCTTGATAATAAAATCTTCACCGTAAGGTGAGACTTTGAGAATACCAGAATATGTTTTGGAATCCCCATCTCCTATATAGTTAACATACCTCAGGCCATGTTTAACAATAGAACGTTGAAACATTTCAATAACAGAAAATGGTTCCGTGTTCCCAGATGCTTCAGTGTGATTGGCGTTACATTCATTTGATTCAATGTGTTGTTCTTTCCACTCTTCATACTCTGCAGTATCTAAATGTTTTTTTCACGACTCACATAATTTACAGTAAGAACTTTTAATAATTACATCCAAGATTTTTCCCGAATAAAATCCGATTAATGAACTCGCACCATATAGTGATGCGAAGCCACGCTTCTTTCACGTTCCATCACCAGAAACACTCACATCTGTCGTAACTTCACCGTCATTTTCATCACTCGTTAATTGTTTTTCTTCTTTTGCAGCAGTGGAGAGTAGTGTCTCAGTAATTATCTTGATGCAGTTCTGTATTTTATCTATATAAAAATCGTATGTTGATTGATTCAAAAAGGAGCAGCTTAAATCCATCAAACCGCAAAATTTTTTGCATCCGGCAAGCCCTAAACCCAATAATCTCATGACAAAAATAAACCGCCTATTTAGTTCATACATTCTGCCAATTTTTTGACAAGATAAAATATATTTCGGCTCATATCGTTCACATGCTACCTCAATTTTAAATCCCAGACCGAATTTCGAGCATTGTTTAAAGTTTACTTTTCCATTACACAATTTTTCTTCACCTTCACTTTCAATGACGTTTGAACACCGCACAAAACACGACAGCGATGAAAAAACAAGATAAAAATCGATGATGGAATATTGGAGCGTGGCTTCCTCTGGCACGTGCTCTTTATTTTCACCTTTCAATTTTTTTTTTTTTTTTTTTTTTTTTTTTTTTTTTTTTTGCTGATGTGCTCATGAAAGAATCATCATGCTGCTCAGGATTTTTAGGATTGAACGACTGTCTCCGTTTCTTGGGTCGATCTTTTCTACGAGCACCGTCCACTAATTGAGATCTTGAAACTTTGGGCATTTTTAAATATAATTTACTTTGGACACTTATAACCTCAAAATAAACCTCGTGGTTCAACAAGTGATCACTAAATGAAGTATTTCAACTAGTTGCCCTTAGAAAAAGAGAAAAGTAGCCATAAAGGACAAATGAACAATAGGCGAGCAGCTGCTCTTTTATACCTGCGGCAAGCGGAGCCCACGTAGCCTTGAGCGCGCCACTTCAAAAGGCTGTATCTCCGAAACTATTACTCGGATCAACTTGAAATTTTCGGACAATATTCGAGAGATGTTGTAGATTTTAATAAGCCGGAAAAAATCGATTTTTTGAACCCGTGAAACCCATGTAACCCCTTAATATTGCTATGCTTTCTTATTGGAATGTAAGTTTCTTTTAAATAAATAATATCATGATAATCACCAGTAGTTGGTCCATGAATACTTTGCATCTGATATTTTCTTGCTGTATCCATGTTCTGCGAAATTAAACTAATAGCAGAATTTTCTCATCTTGATTTCCTATGATAAAATTGCAAAAAAACACTAAACAGAAGAAATATATTTGCCGGTATCTACGAAATTCTGTGAGTTTATTTTCAGATCATTAAATAAAATCAAGATATAAGGTATTTCTCCCGCCTTCTCCATGCCTTCATGGTGCCTTCGCATGCCTTCGTGGTCAGCACACTCGGGTCAGCACAATCGAGAGGTCCGTGTTTCGAGTCCCTACGAGGGCACAGCTAATTTTTCATCTCTCCTGCCTCGAAATAACCTAATGTCTCCACAGTGGCGGCGAAAGGTGATGGATTATGATTCTTTACCCTCATGATTTGTCGAATCGGTCCTCTAAACTCCAGTCGCCCTTTAAAATGGGGAGTATATAAGGTATTTCACTCGCCTTCTTAGCATGCCTTCGTGGTGCAATGATTAGCAAGCTCGGCGCGTATTCGAGAGGTCCGTGGTTCGGGTACCGGCGAGGGCATTGCTCATTTTTCATCTCTCCTGCTTCGAAATAACCTAATGTATCTACAAAAATTTTTTAAAAAAATCTGAAAGCTTTCAGATTTTACATTACGCCCAAAGGGGCGTTTTTTAGAAAACTTTTGTGTGTTACCTTTATTTATTAAATATCATGTTCTTCGCACTTAAACCATGAAATTCAGTTCAACAGCAATATCACAAAATACATTTATAATGAGCATATCGTTAGAATTTCTAATACACAGTCTTTAGCGCTGGAGTTAAAAATGATTTTTTTTTCGGACAGTGTTGCCTTTGCTCCCTTTGAAATCGCTGAGTTTGTTAATCAAAAATTTGTTTAAGTTTTACAAAATATGAAATAGATAATAAAACCAATTCCCATTTTCAAATTTGGGCTTGCAGATGTCCATGTTCAGGTGGAAACGTACGCTGTTGAAAATTTGATGGCTCTAGGTACCAGGTAATCTATGTTTCTCGCATTGTTTTATCACGATGCGAGAAACATATGTACATTTATGTAGATTCTTCATTATTTAATTTCCTTAAGTATAATACAGGGCTCTAATATTTGATGGCAACAGTTTGAAAACTGAACCAAAATTTATCCTGAATCAATGCAAAATACCAAAACGAAATTAATAGCTCTTCTGAGCTAATGCCCTTTGGGCTAAAAACAAATTATCTTAATTCCAATGCCTAACTTCCTTTTATCTTTTTCATTTAAACTCTTTAAGTCCTGTACCTCGACTGGCCATACTTAATAGTGCAATTTTTTTGAAGCACGTTACACGTTAAAACATGAAACACATACAGGGGTAGAACAACGTGTTGTTACTACACGTTATGTTTCATAAAACACAAGCTGCTTACGTATATTAGATTTATTATAGTTGTAATAAATCTAATATAGTTTATATACGTAATATAATTATCAATACATATTTTTATTTGGACAGGAAAGAAATGCAATATCACAACCACTTCAGCATTCCGTGAGTGGTATTCATATGGAGATAACTGCTATTTGGTAGCTGAAAGAAACCTACGTACTTGGAACAGCGCATTGACTTTCTGCATAAACAACGGCGCCAATCTAGCGTCCATCCATTCCTCTGAGGAAACTAATTTCATATTAACAATAGTAAGAATGAATATGAATAAATTTATCTTTGATTCTTTTATAATTAAAAATCATTTTAATAATAAGCTAGATTTAGTAAAAGCGATTTTTAATCTACTAGAAAGTCTTTCATTTTGTAAATTCCACTTTTTAATATACACCGCTATGGTTTTTCAAAAAATATTCATTACATTCTTCATATCTGAGTAAAGGGAACCTGGATACATTTTAAAAAACCCTTTTTGGATTCTGCAATGTATCTTTTTCGAAGAAATGGATAAAGAGGAAAAATTGACTATACTACTCAGAATTTTTACCATCGGACCATCTATCTACTAATAATTATTAGGACACTCATGGAAATGCCCATATCTGCGATCCTGATATATGCCACGGCCCTTCGCCATTAAATATCGCTTAGGAAACAATATTGGCTTTAGTCACATACAAAATACTACCAATTGCAGAGTTACCAGATTTCGAGAAAAGTGCGGTAGTCAGGTAATCACAGAAATGGCCGATTTTTAAGGGTCATATCTGTGGAGCTGATTTACCCAAAATAGACAGTGGCCTACGTGATTCAGAAGTGGAAGTTAAGCGCTGACTGTCAGAATTTGCTCCTAGTCGGCAGACCCACGAGAAACTGGGAGAAAGAAACCGACGCGTACTGTCCACAGAAATTGGTAAGTATCACACTCAACCGATGACCCACAAACTCTAGGAGTTTCAACAGGCATCCAAGATTAGTTAATATGGTGTTAAGCACGTCAAAGTGGACCGTAGAATCAGTGGAAATGGGTTCTCTAGAGCGATGGACAAAGTTCTCCCTCTAGCGTTCGGATGATGGGGTCTAGGTCTGGTGTCTGCCTGGGAAAACGCTTCTTACCAGAATGCATTGTGCCCACAGTAAAGTTCGGCGGAGATGGGATTATGGTTTGGGAGAGTTTCTCCTGCTACGGACTCACTGACTGACTGACCACTGAGGCAGGCATATTCACAATGCCTACAGACTGTTTCTTCTACTGTTTGCTCTGATTGGTTGAAACAGGAACGTAGAGTTAAAGAATCTTGTGCTTGGCAACTTTTGCTTCATCGCCTTTGCTGTTTGTATATGAGCTTGGTGTACCGAAAGCATACGAAAGTCAACGAAGAAACTGCAGCTGAGCGGCACAGAGCGCAGAAGAAGCTCTCGGACTTCTAGGTCGCGGGCTCTATCCCTGCTCGGGTTTTCTACAACCTCTGTCCTGCACGGGTTGTGTCATTATTGGTCTTTTCGGGTGCGATGTTAAAAATTTAATACCTTTATTTTCTCTATTTTTGTTAATGCTAATTTTTCTTATTTTTATTTACTGGTTTATAATCTTTGTAACAGGTGCCAGTAGCAAGATTACGATCCAAGATCCCGAAAAGTGTTAAAATAGAAATAGCGCATAATGGAATAAAATATAATTTTAGTTACACTTACTCATAATTAAAGTGAAAAAAATAGGTATCCGATACCCTTAAATGTTTATTGAATGTTTTCATTTGGTTTATTTTTTCCTAGATTTGTATAAATTAATGCGCTATGCAAATTTACATAACAGACTCTTTCTAACAGAAATGACGAAAGTACATATACCATTTCCATGTAAACACTTTTTCTTGCAAAACAATTATCATACTTTTAACATTTTAAATACATTCTTTAACTAAATAGAAATAAAACTACTAATAAGATCTGTAGGTTATTTAAAATATATTCTACACAATTCCCCTTAGCTTTCATTCATAAAATAAAAAATTGTTGAATGAAATAAAGGCTATTTCTCCTCGCTTTACTGAAAGCCGCAAGGTTTGTTTGGCGTTTATCACCAAGCCTTTCAGGTGATAACTCGCCATTCCAAATATGACCACCAAGCGGATGTTTCGTCCAATGAGAGCAAACCATAGAAGAAAAGGTCTGTAGGCTTTGTGAATATGCCTGAGGCATGCTTCCGACCTAAAGTTATAGGCCAAGCGAAATAATGCCTGCTCAGTGGAAAGCCTATCTACCTTAGCAGCCACCAGTGGCAGAGTAGAACTGGTAGATCAACGGCGTTTATTTAAATCTTTGCAGAGAAATATAATTTTCACAGTAATAAAAGTAACGGTAACAGCTTCGCACATAGTGCATCTAAATTATTTAAATAGATAACAATTCTTAATTCTTATTGCAATGCTTAATACTTAGTGCAATATTACTTATTACATTGGTATATGTTGCAGAATATGACATAAGTTTAAATCAACTTATGCAACCTAAAATAGATGGTATGTTTGAAGAGGAACTATTTAGAATATATAAAGCAAACAAATATATATATATATATATATAATCTTATAAAAGAATAAAAAATTTAGAAATATATAAATATATAAATCAATTAATTAACGTATAAAAAAATTAAACTGAATATGTACATATGAAAACAATAGGACGTAATATACATTTAAATATATAAAAGTAAAATGTAGTATTTAGCTAACCGAGGAGTAATGTTCTATAATGATCCTTGCCAGTGTATTGTGTGTTCCTGAATGCTTAATAAGCTGCAGAGTCCATCCCATCCAGTAGCGCTCAGATTGTCTTATTAAATGGTTATATATAATCTCACATTGGAATGCATAATGATTGGATGGGCCTTGAAGATCATATTCATAAGTGTGTCTCTATTACTAATTGCAAAGCGATGTAAATAGTTCATAAAAGTTCCATGTCCTATTAAAAATGCAGTCCGTCAAAAAATCGGGAGAGTAATATGCAAGAAATTTGTCGGATAAAACGATGTGTTGCAGGGCGGTTCTAGCTGCATTGTATCTTCTTGATTACATGGAAGAAGATATTCAAAAGCAAAGGTTAAATCTTCCTAAGTAGGAACTTCAAAGAGTATTATTGAATCCCTGAAAGGATTTGGTTCTCTTATTATATATGAGTCATGAAAGATCTTGTCGGAGGTGATAGGGTTCTTTATTTTAGTAATGTGATCTTTAGAAGCACAACATATTAGTAAATCTTGAGATCTAGATGGCCTGATTTGTTGCACTAGTTATCAAAGTCTCAGTGGATTTAGTTTTGATGCTAAATGTTTTTGAAATTTATTGGGAGTAGTTTCTTGATCTTTCGATATAATAATTAGTATATATTCTGAAGGTTTTTGTTGTGGGCTTCTCTTCATTTGAATTAATGTGAATGATGCTTTTGGTATATCCAATGTAGGGTTTGAATTCGTTTGTAAATTTGGATCAAGTCTGAAGGATTTGTGTAGATGGTTCTATAATTGTAATCTCTTTTTGCAATGACTCAATTTGTCCTTTCATAACTTCAGTTTGTGCTTGTTGAAATGTAACCGTAGATTCTAAAGATGTTGCCGTTGATTCTTGTTCTAGGAGTAAATTTCTATGACGTTAGTGAGAATTTTTTGCTCCGCTTTATTTAGTTTAAATCTTGCGTGTTCAGCTCCCGAATATCTTTGAATACAGGAGACGTAAGCGAAGAAAGTTTGAATATTAATACTATTTAATCTATAAATTACTTAGTATACTTAATATTTGGAATACTTAATCTCCTGGTATAGACTGGGACCCTTAATCCAAATTCATGGTAAGCTCGATGTCGATGCCTATTGCAATATTCTGGATGACAGTGTGCTTCCTAGTTTTACGAGTTGGACCCATGTTGCGTTCAGCATGACAACTGCAACTGTCACTCTGAGAGGTCTAACATTGATTGCTATGGTGACAATATGTGGTGACACAGCTCATATCTTAACTCTATCGAGAACCTGGGGAACGATTTCGATTCCCGATTTGAGGGGTGAAATAACTGTCCAATATCGGTTAAGGAACTCGCATGTTTTTTCCAAGCTGAGTGGAAGAAAATACCAATAGCCGTCATACAAGGACTTGCGGAAAGCATGCTCTAGGTCTAGAAGATTGAGGTTGCAACTGCTGCCTCATGAAGCCTCTAAAAACTATTAATATGAATAAATTATGTATTTTTTTCTATCACAGTTGTCCAAATAATTATTGGTAGATAGTGTACATTGGTAAAGGATATATTTTCCGACCAATAATTCGATAGTAAATTTTCTGTGAAAACACGAATTGGGGTCCCCACGATACGTTTTCACTACTTTTACAATGACCTCTGTATGTGTATGTGATGACTGTCTGTGTGTATGACGATTTTTTTGTCCACGATAGACCTTACGCCAAACTTTCAATAATTTCTGTTTGCCGTATTCAAAGTTTTTGCTTTCATATAAAGAGTTGAGTAGATTTTAAGTAAAATCTCAAAAGCGGAAGTGGGATTTTACATGTATTTTTTAATGAAAAAATACATTAAAATGTAACCCAAAACTTTTAAGTTTTTGCATTTGTGACTTTTATATCAGTGAGAACAACATATCAGGTTTTCGCTGAAATGAATAAACCGGAAGTGAAACTTTACTTGAAGATCTCAACACATTTTCCTGAAAAAAAATTATTTAATACTATATGATCCCCAAATATCCAAAACTATATATTCGACACTGTATCAAACGATAATAAAACTGTATGAAACGATATAATCCAAAACCTCTCAAATTTGTTATTTAAAATTCGTAAATGCATATATCATGCACATACAATCATAACTGAGAATAAAATATTAGATTTTGACTATATTTCATAAATCAGAAGTTGTACTTTACTCGGAATTCTTAGAAAACGTTTTTGAAAAATTTAGGATCACTATAATAAGAGTTTAATTTAAAACAATGCTGCACATATAATGCTATTTCTGTTCTATGAAAAAATGTATTTATATATATCAAACTGTGGATCAGAATGATTTTTATAATGGCGTTTCATTTGCAGAACTTAAAAATCTGTAATACAGAAAGGTTATCAAAATATGCACTTGTTTTCCACTATTGATGATGTCGAGGCACAAGAGCAACAGCAAATTCGAAAGCACAATTTGCTTAACTTCTTACTGATCTCAGAACCTATGGTAGTTACTATACAGCAATTAATTGCAAAAATGAACGAGCGATGTTCACTGATGCTTAAATATCGCAGGGATGTACTGTACAAAACCAAATGAACGTAGATCTTGTGATACTGTAGAAATAACATAAGAAAATTTAATAATGATATTGGTTTCAAAGTATATATTTTAAATATACATTATAAACACTTAATTTACTTAACGTGGCTGGTCTCCTTCGAAATCGATAGAGTATTTTTTTTCCCTAAATCTACGCCAAACTAAGGTTGTTGTTTTGCCTAATTCAAATTTTTTCAAATTTCATGTTCAGTTTCAACGTGATTCTAACATGAATTTCTATCATGCTGCAAGCAGCTCCATCTGAAAGAATAAATCACGTAACAATGTTTAATTTTCAGACATGGAAAATGTATATCTACAGGCAAGAATGAAGTCCTTTTAAATATGAGTGAAGCGAAGCGAACACGAACATATACCCTACATTTCAAGTAAACTAGTAAAGAAACGTAAAAAACTAAGATGTTAGAAAATATTTGATTGGGATAAGTATCAGGCATTAACAACGATAGATTTTTGTTAATGTTAAAAGTTTTCAAAAATGTCATTTCTGATAGCTCATCATTAAAACTTTAAAAAATATTTAAATAAAACTTAAAAACTCATCCATATAAAAAAATTAAAAGTTAAAAACCTTTATGAAGAAAAAATTAAAAATACGTTTTGAAAAACTAGTAACATGTAAAACCAAGTTGGCATAACATAGAATTCTCCTACTTTTCCGACCAATTAAATAAATTTTACCCTTTTAATAAAATTAAACCCTGTTTTCGTTCTACCTATTAAGTAAAAGAATATGCGTGTAAAGATAAATACTTAAATAGGTACATGCATACATAATATACATACAAACATATTTACACACATACATAACATACATACAAACATATTTACACACATACATAACATACGTACAAACATATTTACACACATACATACATACATATATTGCATAAATGGAAACATGTATACATGTATACATACATATAGATACTTAGATAAATACGCAATTTATTGCTTAAACAAATATATATATATATATATATATATACATATTGATTTCGAGGTGAAGGCGTGCATACATTTTATTCGGGAGAAGCGCATTCTTAAATTGATTTGCGCATCGTATTAAGCGCAATCTAGGCGCCCTTCTTGATCATATTCAATTGTACATCTTATGACAATATGATTTATGAAAGAGTAACATAAAAAGCAAGTTATTCGCAATACAGGCAAGCAAGAACTAGAATGTACCATGCTCAAGATGAAAGTGAATAAAAGTGAATTAGTTTCGGTCTTCTTTTCATTTGTTTATTAATATTTAAACTCCTAAAATTGTTATTAATTGAAGTTTTATGTAAGTTACCTGTGTCATAAGCTTTATGTAAATAACATATGACTGCTATTAATTTTGAAATGAAGCAGTTTAGAAAATTTTAGCAGAAGTGTTTACTACTTTTTTTTTTTTTTTTTTTTTTTTTTTTTTTTTTTTTTTTTTTACAGAAGGGAAGAAATAGCCACATTTAAATTATAGGACATTCCAAATTACAGTTAACATTTTGTCTTGTATATTTCTATCACATATGTGTATGCATGTGTATGTTTGTAATAACTCAGAAGTTGTTGATGCAGCAGAGAGCATGATTAACGGAGTAATAGAGCTTGGTGCATAAAAATTGTTAATTGTCAAGCCAATTTAATACTTTTTTATTCTTAAAAAGCGTATTCTTTATTTAGTGAGGAAAATCTTCACCATTCTTTTTTATGATATTTGTGCATTTTCTATATATTTATAACAATTTCGATGGAGGAAAGAGTAGCAGCTGGAAGTGAGCCTACAGCTTAAAAGCAAAAGGAGAATGCGGCGTGTCTAAGATGACAATCCCTTTCAGAAAGATTTAGTTTTAGTTCAGCATAATTTTAATCGGTTCTTAAATTTTTAATCACATGCGTTCCCAAATGTAGTATTATTCGCTAAAACATTAGCATGTAATTGATTAGCATTATGCATGTGAGGAACATTAATTTTGAAATGATGCAGTTTTAATTTTAGTAATTTAAATACATTTATTTCTGTTTAGCTCAATGTTGAAACAAAAACAGACTTTTGGATTGGTTTAAAGGCTGATTTCAGTTCAAGTTTCACTTGGTCAGATGACACGCCACTGGATTTCTTGTACTTTGCTAATCAACGCGTGGTAAAATCTAGATTGCACAACTGCGTGATTTTCAACAAAGAGGATGGTGATTAGTAACTCTTTTTTAATTATCCTTAATATATGTTTTTGCAATAGATAACATATTGGTTACCGGACTAATCCATAATTCATTATAATTCCTTGTGTTGTTTCACCATAAAATGTCAATGACTGTTATCTGAACACTCTCATTCAAGTTCTAAGCAATGATTATTTTTGGCTTCACTGTTGGACTTGTTAATAAGGCGCATAACTGGTGTAGTGGTTAACGCTGTTGTCTGCTGTACCGAAGGGCTCGGGTTCGAATCTCGATGCTGCACTTTTGGTGTGCTAATTTTAATGTTTATTAAGGTAACTTAATTTTTTTAACCTCATTCTATTAAGTATTCAATTGTAAAAGAAACTCAATCTTGAAAATGAATACGTATACTTAATTTCTTCTGAAGAAACAACTTATAGTGTGTGTATTCACTTTAAAAAAACTTTTAAAGCAACCAAACCTAAATTTAAAGCTTACAAAAGTTACAGTTGAAACTTACAACCAAATTTAAACAAACTAAAGCAAAAATTAATAACTTTAATTACTGATCAAAACTGAATAAGAGCATTTAACTTAAAGCTTGAAAGTAATAACAATTAATGCATAACAATAGCAGTAAATTGAACCAAAAGTTACTATTATATAATGCAAATAATTAATCATAAAATCTTTTATTGTAATCTACTTGCAGTAGAAAGCACGAAGAAAGTGAGACTTATAGAAGCTGTAAAACACTAGTAATTTTGAAATTTCTCATTAGCTGGGTAGGTAATAGCAAATTAAGTAAGGTTTCAATTTAATATTAAAACTCAGTGCAGTTATTAATTATACGTTGCTTCCTGCATTATTCCCACTCCATTGAATTAGTGGGATTTTAACAATATCTGCATTAAATTTAATATAATTTCTTCTCTGAATACAGAAATGGTTTATAGATGTTTTTTGAATTAATTACCATATTTTAAATACATTCCTGTTTTGTTGTTATTTAAGTAAATATTTTTGATTGTCTGCTTCTATTTTGTTGCACTGTGATTTTTATTTGTTTTGCGATGCCATTAAACAGTATTTTAATGAATGTATTTCTTTTAATTCATTTAGTTATTTCCCATAATTTTATTGTATTTTATTATTATTTATTGCGCATTTTGTATAATTATTCAGTCTGTGATACTGTGTTTTTATGTATTTAATTGCTTTTTCGTTTTGCAGTAATAAGCTATGCCTTTGGTTGAATAGAACTGCATGAATAGGTTAGAAATAACATGAGATAAAATCTGTTAAAAGTTTTCTGATTTTAGAAAGAACTTTCCGCCAGGTTAGCGGCATTTAGTACGTTTACTTTTGCACTAGTTTGCGACAGTTTGAAAGTTTTTTAAAGTACATTTTCATTGGCTTAGCTTTTGCGCGATATTCGAGACATCTGCCTGTTAAATAATATATAAAGAAACTTATGGAACTTAGAACCACAAATACTACCCAGAAAGCTTATCAGCAAGATTTTCCAAAATTTAGGGTAAAGAAATAAAAGATAGTTAATGATATTCTAGAAAGTCTTCCATAACAGAGTAGCCATCAGCAGCCGGGAGCTGAATAATCGCAGGCTGCAGCCAGCAGCAAGAAGATTTCAGTTATTATTACTAGAAGCACTGAAATGTTATAAAAGACAATAAAACTGCAAAAAGCAAATCTGAAGTAAAATATTCAGTTAGTTGGTTCAAAAAATACGATTCTATAACCAAAATGGAGGACTTTAATGATAGAGATGCTCCATTTCTTTCAGCTCCAATAAGAAGGAAATTATATCATCGACTGCTTTCTCGGTAGCAGAAATAAGATGGAAAATTTCTATGGCAGAATAAAATATAAAATACACGTTTACACTGATATAATACACCTATAAATACTACTGTATGTGTACTGTATAATGTATTTATTAATTATAAGTACTAAATTAAGAAACGAATTTAATAATATTAATGATTTCCTTGAGCCTGGTCTTTAGAGAAAGGTTTTTGAAGGAATGTTTATTATTAGAAATAGACCCTCTGAGTTATTCTTCTATATTTAGCTGGGATCTGTATTTTGTCTTCAAAGCAATCACAATCCAGTGTCACAAAGACAGGATGTTAAAAGTGTTAATAGTTAAGGAAATATTCTTGTTTTCAGTGCACAAAACTCAACATACTCCCCTGCCCAAAATTCAAAGAGTGATTTATTTTAATTTGCTTTTGATTACGTCACTCGCCGTGAAGTCTATGAAGATTTTTTTCTTCGGCAGTTGAATAGGAATATTTCGAAATGGATCTCTATCGCACTCATACCTTGCTACCGAGATGGTCAGCAAGAAAATACTTTTTTAAATTTTTTATCAGCATAGCTAAATTATTTTCATTGATTACAAAAATAACTTTCACATGATGTCCTTAAGCCTGGTAAGATTTAACAAATTCATTCACATTTGAAACATTAGCTAACATCTTACAAACAAAGAAACCTTGTGTTTTTATGGCAGAAGGCTAACAGATACAGGTACCTCTTCATCAAGCGTCTAAAATCTATGCCAAACACAAGGTTGTTGCTTGGTCTAATTTTATGTTTTACTCTGGCATGTTGTTGTTGTTTGATCTAATTTGACCTTTTACTCTGGCATGTTTCTCTTCTACAGCATACATATTCACGATAGATTTAATAGAGATAGAAGGTTCGACTCAGCCTGGTTGGAAATGAACGGGCTTCGACGCTTATGCACTTGAAGTCACGGTCACGCAGACATTTCAAAATGATCGAGACAAATCGGAACTTCTCGCAAACCCCGAAAATGTCCGATAGTGGACGTAAGACAGAGAGCAATCAAAGACATCGATTCTGGTTTTGTCAGTGCAACGAATCGGTGTTGCTAAATATTAATAAATTTAGTTATTCTTGAATATTTAAGTATTTATAAGGATTGTAATTAAGAAAGTATTGTAGCTTTAATGGCCAAATACTCAGTATATGTTATTATTATAAAGATTGTTATTGTGTGAGAAGGAAGGGCGCGATGAAAATTGTGTCGCAAATAAAGTTAAATATACGCTATCCTAAGATGAAGGAAAAAAATTCTTCCTGGTTATTAAATACCGAGGATACGGATACAAAGCAATTCCTACGACTTTGGGATCAAGTATAGTTTCCACATATGATATGCGCATTTCTCACTTTTGGACAATTAAAATCCAAAAATTATCTTGAGAAGTTAGGAGGAAGGGAAAAGAGATACAAATCCTTTATGCAGAATGTGAACCTTTGGGTGACAAATTCAGTCCACCGCAAATGCTGTGCCATTCCATCTCATTCTTTAAGCATAATGCATAGCCATTTGCATTACGCCCTCAGGATGTTTACCACTGCAGGACTGAATTGTTCATTAATTAATGTTCTCTGTTTTTAACACATGTTTCTTGTTCTGCCCAGTTGCGGATAATTCTCATTTTTCTCCTCACTGCTGTTTAATTGTTTTATTATCTGCTTTTCATTGTAATCACCCGAACTGCTTAAATGTTTCATCTCCTATTTTCTGACTGCATGTAATTGTTTCCACAGCTATTTTTTACAATTGTAATTATAATGTTATTTATCAAAATTTATTTAAGGTTAATAAATTTGGAAATCGTTTATTACTTTTTTTTATTGCAGCATTTTTGGCAATTGCTTATCTGCATTGATAATTGTACATGAATTATATATATATATATATATATATACGAAGGCATTTCGAAAAGTAAAGATACAATGGCTCGCATTCCTTAAAAAACATTTATTTAGAAAACGTCAGTTACATCTTATTAACTGGATTATTTATTATTTTTCGACATAATCATCCCCGTTATCCAAACATTTGTTAAGTCGGTGCACAAGCTTTTGTATCCCACAGTCATAGAAGGTGTCCGCCTGTTGGAACCCAGCGCGCACATAATTTCCTGTATCCTGACTTGACAGTCACAACTTCATAAAGAGTTGTCACTGACACTTCCGGTATGATCTGATACAATTCTTTCAATTTGAGACGTCTATTCGCACGAAATGCTTCCTCTATTCTCTGAAGAACGGCATCAGAGATCACAGAGGGCCGACCTGTTCTTTGTTCGTCATGAGCATCGGTCCTACCTTCAGAGAAATGACAACACCATTTCGTTACATTTTGTCGATTCATAATGTCCCATAAACAGGAACAATTTCTTTGTGAACATCCGCTGGTTGCTGAGCTTTTGCATGAAGAAAACGTATGAAGGAGCGCACTTCGCATTTGGAGGGATTCTGAATCGGCGCAGCCATTTTAGACACGACCTACTTCAACCAGAATCAACTTTGAAATACCGAACGACCGCGAGGAGAAAGCTAACGGTTCAAGGTTAACAAGGTTAACACCTATGTCGCCAACTTGCTCACCAAAACTTTTCTTTTCCTCTGGCGTACGGTGTATCTTTACTTTTCGAAATACCCTCGTATATTAATTTTTCAAAACAACTTTTTTTGCTGGAAAAAGATTATGCTACCTTGGAAAGTGAAAAACCTGTTATAGCGGAAAATATTGATTTTGAAAAATTAGAAAAAAAAATTTGCAATTGAAAAAGTGCTTCACCTTGCCATTAATCAATCACCTTGCCATTATCTGCTAATATTATAATATTCTTAGCATTTGCATATGATTTCCGTTTATATCACATCCTGGTTTTTGCAATATGTAATTTATAAGAAATTTAAGAACTTAAACTCGCCTTTAATCATTTGTTATTGATTTTTACATTGTCTCAGTAAATGTTGTTTGCCTTACCATTGTTAGTATCGGTTAGTTTGGGTCTAATTTATCTTGTTTGCTTTGGGCATGCAAAAGGTAGCGCTTACAAGTGGATCAACTAATTCATCCGATTATTAAAAGTAGGTGTTCTTGACTGAAATTGAATGAAGCTAAGACAACCAGCTGGAGCTTTCCCTCGATTAAATAATCAAATCATTTTCATTGCAACAGCCAACGATTATGTTTAATTTCTTAAAGTTTGAATACTAATGTTTTACCCACAGGATCTTGGACGTCTACTGACTGCAACCAAAACTATGGAGTAATATGCAAGAGGAGTAATGATCACGAATTCACGAGTCCTGCACCAACTGCTTTTTCGGGAAACTGCCAGAAGGGCTGGTATCTACTAGGTTCGTTTGCATATTTCTTATTGCTTTTATATTCACTCATTTGCTGTTTCATATCCGTAATTGTACCATTATTTTTAGCATATATTTTAGGGTACGGGCTTCAACACTTGCTCGGACAGTAACACTACGGCTGTTCTACCGAACCGAAAAGTAATTTTCTCCTAAGATATACAGAGTGTATCATTACAGCAGTAACAAACTTTCAGGAGAGCTAGAGTAAACCTAAACAATGAGAAATCACATAGCAATGCATGGTCGGAATGCTTTCCTGACGCGGTAGCGATGACACAAAAGTTAAGACAGAAAGATCACGAACGGCTTGAGAAAATATGTTTATTATTCGAAGTACAACAAAAACAAAGAAAAAACAACATAAAAAGACAACGATCATCATCAAAGGTGTTCGAAATTACGACCCAGACCGTGAGGCAGGAACCGTGCCTCATGCATCTCCAATTCTTGATGCAGTTCTTCCATGAGGCAGAGAAGTGACGCCTGCATCACGGTACGGGATTGTAATTTCGAACACCTTCTTTAAAGACGATATCTGTTTCTTTTTGTTATTATTTGTAGGTTTCTGCTGTACTAAACATCATAAAACATGTTTTGTCTCACTGTTTGTGTCCTTCTTCTTTTGCGTTTGGTATCAACACTACTGCGCCAGGAAAGCGTTTCCGACCATGCATTGCTATGTGATTTCTCATCGTTTAAGTGTACTCTATTCTCTCCTGAAAGATTGTCACCGCCGCACCGATACACCCTGAATAGTCATAAAAGTCTACATACAGTCATCAGCACCTTCATTAATATTCGTACTGATATTTTAAAAAGTAAATGCATCGTAGTAAACTTCCGAGATATAAATTTATGTCCTATTAAGAAAATAAACCATTGAGTTTTCATTGAGTTTCAACAAAATATTGCAAAAATCTATACTTTGCATGTCACAAAATTCTAAATACAGAGAGAGAAATATTTCATTTACTCTAGCTAGCTGATTCAAAAAATAAATTTCATACCTTGTGGGTCCACATTTTGCCTTTATTACTGCCGATAATCTGTCTAGTATCAAAAGAACTATAATTATTGTCATATCTGGTGTAATTTCAGATCATGTTCGTTCAGCTGCTGCCTTCAGATTTTTCTTTGTTTGTAATAATATACTGGCAGATTCGCCGATCACATTCACCTCATACATGTTCCATAGCGTTTAAGTCTGGCGACTAGAGTGGTGTATGCAGCTGACTGGGTGCTTTATAGAGGAGCCTTTCCTTAACAAGCTTAGCAGTATGTTTTGAGTCATTATCTTTTTCAAAGGCCAGTATGCTTTCTAGTCGAACGTTTTCAACAATTGACTGCATTTGGTAATAGTTTCAGATACACTAATCGATACATAGTGAAATCTATGAAAATAATTTATCTACGTACTTCAGCCGCTGCCACTGAACCCGAAGCCATTACCCTCCTTCCACCATGTTTCACAGTTGGTATAAAATTTTCCAATTTCATTGCTTCATTTTTCCGTCTCCAGCTTTCTTTATGACCATTGCTTCCGTAAACATTGAAATTACTTTCATCAATAAATAGCACTGTTTAAAAAAAATTCCTTATCTTTCCAAAATCTAATTGTTTGTGTCAATTTTGACGTGGGACCAGAGGTTTTGTTCAGGGAGCTGGTCCATGAAATCCCGGTGATCAAGGAATTTTATGCTCAATTTTCTGGAACGACTATGTCTCGTGTTACCTTCGCAACAGTGTTAAGTTAAATTTGGAACAAAATCTTTTGCATCTTCTTTTTTGACAAGAATTCTTGCATCACTATGACGAACTTAGACGAACACTTCGAGACTTTTTAGTACTTTTCTTCTTGACTCGTATACTTCGAGATTTCTTTGCACTTTTCTCCTTGACTCGTAATTTTCAGTTATAGTCTGTACAGTTGCATGACTTTTTAAAACAACTTTAGCTATTTTACCATAACGTTTCTTTTCATGTCTTAATTTTACAATAAAATATCTCTTTTCTAAAACTCTCTTCCTTGTATTTGCTTTTTCAAACTACGATAAAGAGAATCAAGATTCTTACTTTCACGCCTGCTTGAGTTGTCCTTATAAATCCAAAAGGGAAGAAAACAGCACATATCAATTGAAAAAAATTGAAGCAAAACAAGATTTAATTTGTATTAAAAGAATTCTAATTAACAAACTGAATCCAAATAATTTCACAATTTGATAATTAACTAAAATGTTTTAATATAGATAACTTCACGCAGTTACTACTCTTCCCTTTTCTAATTTTTAAGCTTACATATTTCATGCAAAACTGCCAATACAACTATCAGATCCCATAAAAGAGTGGTTCTGCCGGCCTCTAGTTTCAACGACTACATTTTCTGTAAATGACGTGGGTGCATTTCTGAGCTCACTGTATCCAAATGGTGGCTCACTCCCAACGCACGTCTATGCACTCTCATGCTTTTAACAGTGCATATGTGTATACGAGCCAATTTCCCTTAGAAAGTCCTCCATGAAGGCATCCCTCCCTTTAGGCAGATAGCCCTCGTGTGCTTTGCCATAATTGAATAACCCATAACCCATTAACAGTGCATATTACAGCTTCTTCCTCGATAGGAACTTCACGATGTCTTTGTCTGTCTACATGATGTCTGTAAGCATAGAAGGATCTACTCTCACACAGCTCCTAGTTAATAGACTCAAACATTTAATGGTTCGGCAGTTGATATTAGGGAATCATTCTCTGTCCATCCTCTTAAGCATAAGCAGCTGCTCTCCGTGTTACGGTGAAACACCGAAATCTGGAGAATGTCGATTTTCACCGGTGAATGTCAACATTCACATAGTCGCTTGGTGTATGTCCGAAATATTTTTCAAATACTCTTATTTCTGACTTACACCGGTGAATGTCGACATTCACTATGTACTAATGGTGAATGTTGAACATATATTTCCTTCTCCGTAATTCATTCGCGAAAAAACGCGCTTGAGACTCAGAATAAGAACTTAAAACACACAGTACATTCAAAATGAGAAAGGAAAATAATAGAAGTTATAACCTACCAAATTATGTGATTCAAATCTTATTTATTGCAACAACTTAAACTATTATGACACCTTGAATTGCGCAAGAGGCTTTTGCTTTTACAACTGCATTTATTTGTGGAACACTTCCTTTTGGAATGGCAGCGTGTACATATAATCCTCTCTTTTCGACCTACACCAGAGCATATCTGTGATACACAGGTGAGGGTCCGAATGTACAAGAATGTAAAGAAATATTCGATCTTTCACCGACGTATTTTGTGAATGTTGACATTCTCCAATTTCGGTCTTTCACGGTAACATACGCATATAAAATGCGGAGATGAACTCCGCGTTTAAAATCAACGTTTTGTATGCAGCAGTCAGCTTTTACCTGTCGATCTCAATAGCGCCTGCTACAACACCAATGCGTCGCTTCTATTCCTAATAGATTTCATTAAAGAATCTGCTTACTTTATTATCTTTTATATTTTGACAAATATTTTAAAATGACTTATATTCGTTCTAAATAAATAAAATATAGACTAAATTTATGTTACTTTATATATTAAGGAATTTCTGCATAGATGAGCGATATTTAAAATACTTTTTATCAAAAAGTAGGTGTAATGCAAGCACACTTAAGAATTGCGTGTTTTAAAGTTACTTAATACGTTGTTCCATTTATAGATACGTTCGAACATCAGTCATTATAAAAGTTACCAAGTAGGTTCCCGGAAAGTAATGTACTTCATTTCATCTGAAGCTTTAAATTGCAATAAGGCATACACCATGTGTCTTAGCCAAATTTTAAGAAAATAAGTTTTTTTTAATATTTTATAAACGAACATGATAAAGTAAAAAATATTTCTGCAATTCTTTAAAAAAGTGCTTCTCTCATATTAAAACTTTCAACTTTGATATGCTTTTATTAATAATATATTAAGAATACGTTTACCTGATTGTCTCAGTTAATGTTACATTTATTTTTGCAACGTAATATCGTCTTTTTATTTTCGGCTAAAAGAAGTACGGATATCAAGTACGTTCTTATTTCTCTACTTTTTTTTTCAGGTAACAAATGTTACATAATCTTTGGTCAACATGGATTTGGCAAATTAATATGGCATGATGCAAAAAGAGCATGTGAAAAGCACGGGGCAGTTCTTGCTACTATCCATTCAGAGAAAGAACAAAGTAAGAAAAATAAATTGAACATTTACATTTTCGTTTGGTTTTATTTGATTACAAGGCATGCACGAGACATCTGAATAAAAGGAAGGACTTCTTGGAGAACTTTTTAAGGAAAGTGGCTCGCAGCCCCAAGTTACACATGCAGAAAAACACGAAAACGCTCTTGCAGCCAGCCAATTCGCCTAGAATGAACCCAGGTCAAATTACCAGAGTTCAGAGACCATCCCGTTCGGCCGCTGTGAGTGTGTCAAACGTTCGTAAAAATGATTTATATAAATCGCATTAACAAGGTAAAAAAATCTTATGCGGTAATACTTTCTAGAAAAAGCGCAAAAATCACAAAAAGAGACTGAAGGCTAGAACTTGTTCCACATTTCCACCTAATTATACGGAAGATTAAATTACGGGAAAGTAGTGAAACTTAATTAGGTCAATTATTTTAAGGTTTCAAAATTTTCTGCATTACGCGGTAGTATTGACAGTCTAATAATTTATACTCAGCTTGTAAGTCACCGTTATACTGCTGGGCATTGAAGAACATTAGTAACCAAGAATGCAGATGGTCGTCTTTGTACTTCGAGTTAACTTGAGTTTAAATACATTTTCTATTCTATGCCAAAGTATGTTATCAAGTGTTTCTCAGATTGCAGTCACCATTCAACAGCACCCTTAAAACCCAAATATATACTCTGATTTAATTTTAATTTAAATACCTATACCTAAATTTATTGTTCAATCCCCATTGTGAACTTTTGCGTTAACACCAAGGGACCTTTGACATGTAGGTCGCCAGTTAACTTGAGATCTACTGACAAGCACTGTAAATAACAGCCTTGACAGTGACAGACGACAATGGGCTTTAGATTTAATTTACATTTAAACATCTACTTTTGTTGGCTGCATTGCTCTACAGTGGTGATCTGTGAGTTGAACACTCGTAACGCTAAACCTATAAGTCTCCAGCGAAAAATAGATTTAAATAGTACGTGTCGGCATCTATTGAAGTTTAATCAAAATATAATCTCGTTTACATACCGCCGTATGCCGGTGAAATATAGGTTTATTCTTCGAAGTGAAAATCGGTAAATCGCCAGTGACTAACAGTCCTGACAAGCAACAAGCAACGATGTCTTTCGGTTTATGAAACCACCCCACGTGTACTATCCTTTTTCGGAAAGGTCTTCTTAAAGCATGTTCTAACACGTTTAAACAACTGATATTTGATGCTTTAATAGCAGACATGAAAACGGCGGTTACAAATGAGTGAATCAGATACATCAAGTTTACAGGTATAAATGAGGCAACAGCGCACTAAATACTGCAAAAAGTATGGGTGAGTGTAAAATAAAAGTGTTTTGAATATTCGCATGTTTAATGATTATTCTGCAAACCCTAGCTTGAAGGATACCAGCAGCTGTGGACGTGTTATCAATGACATGTTGAAACCTACAGTTGAAAGAAATTCATTTTCATCTGTTAAAGAGTTGCCAGAAGAGGTTTATATTTGAATAATTTGAAATCGCATCTAAACTTGGCAGGTGAGTCCCACATAAACTTATAAATGCTAACTGAAGAAGATTGTTTGAATAACTGTACTGCACTTCATTTTCGTGAAACAAATTCTCCTTTTCTAAACTGTCTAACGTCTGGTGATGATAAGGAACTAGTGGTTCGAAGCTTGCAAAATTTCGTTGGTAGAAAACAGTACAATTCCCAACAAATCCAACAAAATCTTGAAAATATTTTCTCCAGTAGCTAGCTGGTTCCTTCAGAAATGACAAAAAAATTATTACGCCATGGGAAGAATGTTGCTGATATAAATGGCACATGTAAAGTTGATTTAAATAGTCACCTACTTATTTTTTTGCATCAAAGCCTCCTTCAGAAAGCGACATTACTCATGAGATTACTTATCGTCTGATAGTTTTAGCATCAGAAATGTTCTAGTTAATATCTTTCCGTAATTCTAATATTAGAAACATTCTTAGCAGAAGATTTTCTAAAATTTTGAACTATTACTTTTCTCTCTCTCTCTGTATATATATATATATTTACTTTATTTTAAATTCTGGACTGTACACTTACTATTGTCATGGTTATCCACTCGCACTGGTACTTATTACCATTGTGTGAAATACAAGGAATTCATCTCCCACCAGCTTCGCGTATAACCAATTCCTAGAAAGTTACCATTCAGCGAAATAATTTATTATTCGATTTCAGTTTGTATTTTCTTTATTAATTGGGCGATTTAATAACAGTAAACAAATGTCTTAATAGTTTAAATCTTATAATCATTTTTGTACTATATCTAATTTATATAAACTGAAAAGCATTAAAATACAAGTATATTACTATAATTAACAAAGCTTAAACGCCAAATATTTCTTACTCCGTTCGGAATCCTTTGCTTGGTCTTTTATTCACAGTTATATATCTTTTGGGCATAATTTCAAGTTCGCTGACTAAGACACCCTCATCAGCAACCTCATTTTAGGAAATTTAGTACATTGTCCATGAAAAGAAACGTTTCCATTTAGCAGAAGCATAAATTTTAGTTAAGAACTGGCCTTATTTTACCTGTTTGCAAGTAACATAAATTTGCATAACCATCTAATGTGAATAACTGTTTGCGATGAAAGCCAGGAAAAGCTAGGTCAGGATGCAATTTAAAGTCTACTTATAAAAAAATAAAAATATTTTTTTTTATATTTTAAAATAACATATTGTCAAATCTAAAAGCTACCACGGTTATAAGAAACAAGACAGAGGTCCTAAAGTATTCAGCTTTTGAGCTTTTTGTTTCGAAACCATAAAATTTCTGGAAGCTATTAATCAGGTCATATTTGTGCTAAATATTGCGCCTCAAATGACGCAAGTTATTTTCAGTTATCAATAATAGATTATTTTTCTGCTTATATATATTTATTAATTTTCATTAATTTCTAATGCTTTTGTAATTTAATGCAATATTTTAATTTTATAAATAATGCGATGATACATTCTTTCTACGCATGCTCCACCAACATTAGTTCAGAGGCTGGTGTATAGCTACTTTATTAATATTCTTTTAATCTTTGACAGAAATTTTAAAATATCTTTGACATCCTTAGTATTTTCTTATTCTTATTCCATGCGTTATCTGCACGCTTACTGCTAACATTTTTATTAGAATAAAGCTCGTAATTTTATTTTTTAAATTATATGTTGCTTGGCGAAAAAGGATGGAAAAGACGGGAAATTAAATACATTTGCAACAGATTAATGCCGAAATATGTGCAATTACTTTTAAACTGTTTTAAGAATGGTAATGTATTCTCTCTAAGAACAACAGCATGACCATTAAACAATTTACGAGATTGTCCTCGTACCCTTCCTGATATTGAATATTAATTGCATGCATACACAGACATACAAATATACATACAAATGTGTGTAAAGATTTTCATACTCATTCGTATACGTTCGTAACTATTTGATATTTCAGAAAAATTAACGGGATTTCGTTTTTAGGTTTTTAAATTTGTACGCTAAATTATTTCGACTATTCACTTCATCTTACGAGTATTCCTTCATTAAACCTTGACATGGTTGCCAGCGTCGCTTTTCCGAAGACTTCTTTTCTTTTCCGAAGACTTTTTGCTAAGTGGATGAAATTCTTGAGGATTTAAACATTGTTCATTTGAAAATATGTGTGAAACTTATAACGCATGTGGATACGACTGCTGAACATTGTTATTTCGTTTGACTTAGCTTCAGATTCCGATAAGAGGGACGTCAACGTATCTTTTTCGTGGTTTTTTTCTCTCATATATAATATAAATAAACATAAGAAACTTTCCTTTCGGAAGTTCTCCACGGAGGCAACTCCCTCGTAAACAGATAAAATTTGTTTGCTCTTCATTTAATTAACCATTTATGATATCCCCTTAGAAATACAAATGCCAATCACTTCTTTTAAAAGATCTTTTCGTGAAAGGAATTTTAAATTTCAGCTTCTTTTAACAGATTTCTTGACAGACTTGATGATAGAAGCTGGTTCTGATATTTGGATTGGACTTCAGAGCCATAATCTGGGTACTATCTTCAAATGGGCAGACGGCACGAGACTCGATTATACGAACTGGAATGCTGATAATGTTAAGTCAAAAGCACTCACTCGGGTAAGCTAAATGTTATTGTACTAAATAATGGTTTAATTAACTTAGCCAAAGAAAATGTGCTGATACGAGTGCTACAATAAATGGAAGGCCAAGTACAAAACGAGAGGAAACTACTTCCTGTTTCCTTTTGCGAAGAATCATGTAAATTTCCATCGATCAGCAGCGTATTTCGCTGAATTAATTGGAAGCACAAAAATAAATATTAATCAATTTCAAGCAAATCAGTTATAAGAATCAGTTTAAATGTATTTTTAGCTTCATCCAGTGCGCGGATAGCACTAATATGACACAGGAAGTAATCTGCTTACTACATAACATTCTCGACGTCTTCCTTTCGCAAAACAAGAGGAAATCGGAAAACGTTTGAAGGCGATGCAGGACAATTAAATCACTGCAATTTCCTTCAGTCTTCAGCCGTATAGTGTTAGATCATAAGGAAAACGACTTAACAGTATTTTGTTTAGATGTCCAAATGACATTACAAAGAAAGATATTTGGCCTTTTACCTACATCTTAGCACTGGAGCAGGAAATAAATGATCTTCAATCGTGGAACTGAAGAGAGCTTATTGGCAAGTGAAAGTACTTGTAGAACCTGAACTTTGTGAAACGACTGCATTTACAGCCATTCAGATATTTTGGCAGTTTAAAATAATGCCTTTTGGAACGTGCATCGCTGCTGTGTTATTTTAACTCATAGCGGAAACAAGTTCCAAAGAAATATTTTGGGAAGTTTAACTAGCTTGGCCATACTCACTGCGCTGATGTTTCTGAGAAATCTGTGTCCGCCGAAAACATCACGGCCGAAACATCGCGTAGGAAACAACGCAAGGCGAAAACGTCGTAGTACAAAACATCATAGGAGAAAAGAAATCAAAGGGAAACCTTCGTAATTCTAAAACATCGTGGTACAAAATATCGTCATTGAAAATAAAGCGGTTCAAAAAACTTCTTAGTTTAAAAACATCGTCGTCGAAAATTTTGTGGTAAAAAATAAAGTACCTATCATTCGTATGACGATAACATCGCACGCATGCGGTTTCCAGGTTTTAAAAGTTGTAAATGCATTTTCGCATAATGATTTGGGAGTGCAAGAAGGAAAAAAAGGGTATTTTTACTTTTATATTTCATATTTTGGAATGAACTAATGAACTTTTACTGAAAAAGTAAGAAGGACATTGAAGCATTTAAAATTGAAAATGAGCAGAAAATTAATGCAATTTATAGCACTTAATGGAATTTTAAATTTATGTAGTTAATTAACAAAGTTCATAAATAAATTAACCTTTTTTTATAAAGCTTTATTCATAATTTTTCATGAAAAATACAGCCTAAAAATGGTTAGAAAATGAAGATAAATAACTGCTTTAGGTTACCTCTATAAAAATTGTCTCATTATCATTAATTCATTAATTCTTGTTTTGTTTCAGTCTATTATCAAAGTGTCATTAATATTCCTTGGGCTTCCAAATCTTTATGCAAATATACATTTATAACTTTTAAGACCTGAAAAACGCGTGTGTGCGTTGTTGTCGTCATGTGAGGATTTATAGCTGCTTTATTTTTTACCACGATATTTTCGACGAGAATGTTTCTAAACCGTGAAGTTTTTGAACTGCTTTATTTTCGACGATGATATTTTGTACCGTTTTAGAACTTCGAAGTCCTAATATCGTTTGTTTTAGAACTGCAAAGTTTTCTCTTTGGTTTTTTTTTCTTCCACGATGTTTTGTACCATGATGTTTTCGCCTTGCGCTGTTTTCTTCGTGACGTTTTCTTCCACAATGTAACCGAGAAATCAAGGGCATTCGTGATTAGAGTCATGCTTAAGACGGTCATCGGTTAAGAAAATCATTCGATCTCTACACATACTACCAAGAATTTTTTAAAGCTTACCTTAAAATCGTAAGGCCTCTATTGCTTAAAAGAAGTTTAAAAAGAAACATTTTCACGAAGTGATATTGTGGAAAATAAATTTAAAGCTCTAAAGGAGGATTTAATTTCCGCTTCTGTATAAGCTTATGAATAAAACTTCATTCTAGATACAGAGTTTCGAGAAGTCTAGAAAAAAGTAAAAATGAATTATACTACACTTTCTTACTCGCACTGAATTTCAATTATGCCCTATTGAAAGGACTGTGTAGAATCCTTCGTATGAAAACTACTCAGACTAGTCGCCTACAGCTTCATATCCATTCGGATGTCACAGTGGAGATATTTAACATAACAATATTGGACCCAATTCGACTGCGTGGAATTTCAAATCAGCAGAACAGGAACCAAAAGCGGGTTTTATTCCTATTAGCGTATCGAAGAAGCAGTGCGTGAAAACATTGGATTATCTCTATAATAAGTGAATTTTAGCTGGAATAAGTGAATTTCTTCTTTACCAATTTCGTCTGAGCAATACCTGGAAAATCTGCAGCCACGTTTCGATAACGTTTCTCGGTTTGCAAGAAGAAGGATCAACATAGCAACCGAAAGAACAAAGCGGAGAACTGAAGTAGACGGAAAGGAAATCCTAGGAAAGAGATAAAATCTAACTACGGAATGATTAATGATCTCAATAATTTCTAAATGATCATCTAAAATTCTCACTCAAATTATAGACATACTAAGAGGCGCCTTTCCATGTTTCCTCCTTTTAGACCTAAAACAGTGACTACGATAGACTTGTATTCTTAGTATGGTAATACTGATCATTTTCCTGAGGACTGCATTGGCCGGAACTTGCATTCTTGAAGGAGGTGACGATGTCATAAATTTTTGTAAATGCTTGCATTCATTTGATTACGTTATTGTCTCGTGTACTGTTATAATAGTTTGCATTGCATTTGTTAACTGATTTGTTAATTTGTTGATTTTGGAATAATAACTTTAAGATGTATTTTTAAATATTTTGTAAACAAAAGTGCAATTGTTGCACAAATGTTTAGCCTTGTGCTAAATTCAGCAGCATTCAAAGTGAAAAAATAATTCAGCATTAATATAGTTAATGCTGAATATTAAATATTAATATTAAATAATTTAACTTTAAATATAAGCAGACATTGCCTTATCTAATCTCTAATTCAAAGATTTTTCTGCAACTTGCCAACAAGCTTTCTGGCCACATTTTTCCAGAGCTTTCTGGCCACATAAATACGGTTGCAACAGCGCGCAGTCAGTCAGCTGTAAGTTAGTTATTTATTCAAGAATAAGTATTCTTATTCAGTTCACTCCTTTAACCGTTGTCCTTATAGTTCTAGGAATTAACTGAATTGCGTTTGACAGTTTACTCTCTGAGTGGTATCCCTATCAAAGCCCGAGTGGGAAAGTCGCCAAACACTGGTACTGTGGTCCGGTGTTCGATTCAGGCGAACGAGCTGGGCGTTTTCGAGGTTTTTCCCATGTGTAACGTGTACGAGCAAATTTCCGTTAAAACGTTCTCGAAGGCATCCCTCCCCTTAGGTGCCCTCGAGTGCTCTGCCATGATCAAATAAAGTTCAGAGTGATATCGGTAAACTACGATACTTCTTGCGTTCTCCTTGGGTTATTTACAGCTATTCTTTTTGATGTTTACTCTCGTGAAAACAGCATAATGCTCTGGAACAGCCCTGAAAGTTGATAAGCAACATCGATATTGGTCTTTAATTAATTGAAAGCGAACGACCCAATACATGCGACAAAGCATCTGTGTATTTTTGCGGATAAAATCTCAACAAAATAGCTGAAATTTACTGCGTGGCTTCTTTCTTACCTATTTTATTATTTTCTCTCCAGAAAGTCATGTTAACAACAATATTTAAACAATCACGCAATCCCAGGTTTTCGCATCACATTTCACTGTAGAAATGTACCAGACTTTTGAGTTCAGCCTACGTCTATAGAAGCGACTGAAAAAAGCGCAAAATAATTCATCCAATTTTATTGGAACCCAAAATTTATGTAGAGGTTGTAGAGACATTAGGTACTTTTGGAAGCAGAAAAGATGAAAAATTAACAATCGCCTTCGCCGGGAATCGAACCACGGACCTCTGGAATACCGGCCCAGGGTGCAGAACTACTACATCACGAAGGCACGTTAGGAAGACGGGAGAAATACCTTATAAGGTTAGTATTTAAGGTAAATTGTGCACGATTTAATCAGAAAATTACAAGACACGAGTTGCACGCGTGACCGAAGACGATTTAGCACTTAGTGTATATAAGGGTAATCATTTAGATTCATGAATGAACAGAATGTGAGACAAAAGTATAAAATTACAGACGACTTTGAGCTTTCTGAGAGACTCTTATAAACAGTTTACGAAAAACACACTGAATGCAATGTTTTTTTCTTCTTTCATCAGATGCAAATGTTGGGGGATTGTGCAATAATGAGGATCTGCCTCTCGGCAAATCTATAATCGGGATTTCTGAGCTGCTACTTGGAAGAGACTTTCCTTTATGAATATTTTTGGTTAAATTAGGTTATTTTAGTATCGCAAATCCCACAAGGCGAAATGCCTTTTTAAGACTTTTTGAAAGACGATTAGCTTGTATTCATCCTAAACATAGGGAAAACACCAACATTCTCATGCAGCCAGCCCATTCGCCAGCGTTTCAACCCGGCTCGAACCAGTAGTCTGAGATTGTACAGCTCAGCATCTGGTACTCCATTAATTTATTAGACTGACAAGCACCTTTCATTTTTAGTTAGCAGCTAGACATGAAGAATTGCATTTATTCGTCTACTACTTGTTCCCGAAATTATGGGAGGCCATCAATACAGGAAATTGCGACATTGTTTAATACTATCGGCTTTCTTCTTGGATCTATGTTTTTCATAAAAAATTTCGTAAAAATATTCACAACTTGCGCATGGTGCTAATGTATGGCCACAAGCTATACATCGTCGTTCTTCACGCATGGTTTATTCTAGAGTTATGCGCAAATAATAAATTGAAGAATTTCAAAGTGGTGAATTGTCGCTCTGAAATTTAGCACTGTTAAATTCTGCAAGCCATTATTTGCCTACAACTCTCGAATGCTGTAGAAAATTTTCTGCTCATATACCGCATGTCATAATTCATCACATATGGTATCGAGAGCACAATAACCGCTTAAATAACATGCCGGTTATCCTATCAATGGGCAGGATTTTCCATTTGCACTATCTCAGCTTATTTGCCATCAACAGATAACTAATTTTGGGAGTATCTCTATTCCAGGGACTTAAGAAACATCTCCAAAACACTGAATAGCTTAAACAGCATGATTGTAGTATTTTTGATACCAAAGTTGAGATACTAAGTATTTGTACCTTTTTGAGTATTTTTTAGTTTATTTGATTAAGGGGGCTATCCGCTTAAAGGAAGGAATGCTTCCGTGGAAGACTTTCTAAGGGAAACTGATCGTATTCGCATTACGCATGCGTAAAACTCGAAAACGCACATACAGCCAGTCGGGATTCGAACCCCGGACTGAACTACTAGTGTCCAGCGATCCAGCGACTTTATCGTTCGACCTCTCGTCTGAGCTTTTTATCCCAAAGGAGCATTAGCTCAGAAGGGCCGTTAGTTTCGAAACGAGATTTTACATTGAAAAGAAAAGCTGAATAACTTTTCAGATTATTGCCACCAAATATTATCGGCCTGTATTATTTTAAAAGAAATTTAATAAAGGAGAATGTGCATGACTATACGTATGTTTCTCGCATTGGGAAAAAAATTATGGTACCTAAGAACGTAATCCTCCATTTGAACATGGGCACTTGGAAGACCGAATTTTAAATTTCGAATTTGTTTTATTGCCTATTTCGCATTTCAACTTCAACGAATTTTTGATTAACAACTCAGTGAGTTTAAAACAAGCAATGGCAACACTGTACAGAAAAAAAAATATCTCCGGCGCGCGAGACTGTCTATTGAAAATTCTGTTTTCAAATATTTTAAGATTTTGCTGTTGAATTGAATTTTATTCAGTTTAAGTTCGAATAATATGATATTTAATAAATAAATGTAACACGCAAGATGTTAAAAAACATTCCTTTGGGTGTAATACAAAATCTGAAAGCTTTCAGATTTTTTATTAAGAGGAAGGTGTAAAGAGTCGATTCTGTCTAATGATGAGTAGAACCAGAAGGCTGTGCATATTTAGAGGCATATACGCGTATGAAATCTTTACTAGCTTGCTCATTTTGGAAATATAAAGTGTCATACTTTGGTCTTTTTGATTTATTTGTAAAATGAAAAATGCCTCTTTTTATTTTGTGATATTATTATTGGTTGTCTCGTCATAATGGACATTTATGTGCAAACTCTCATCACAACAAACGAATCGTTTTTCGAGATACCACTTTTTCGGTATTTTCGAGGTTTGTGCCTACAACCTTAAGTTTGAACACCAGTATATTTTACATTTCATTATTTAGTAATGTACTGTAATATATTGTAATATTCACAATACTTTTTTTATTTTATTTAATATTATTAATGTCTTATTGCATAGTCAGTTAATTAGTAAATTTATTATAAAATTATCTTGTTTTATAGTGTTCCTTCCAACCCGCACGAATATAGAAGACTGTAAATTTCTTAACAGACGAGTACTATCGTACTTCTGTATAATGCAAAGCAAAGGCATAATTACATAATGCTTATTTATTATTTTTTTATTAAATTTAAAATGAAAATAAATACTCTTAAATAAAGTAGTGGCCGGTTATTTTTAAATGATCAATGTTAATTCTAGTTCTGAATATTTGAAGTTCGAATTCTATTGCACATTATTAGAACTGCCAAATTCTGTTTTGAGTTAGTGTCTGTCTCTCTACATGTCGTCATTATAAGGTGCTGTTCTTTTTCAGGACGTATGCTTGGAAATTATGAACAAATTTGAAGCAGATGGAAAATGGGAGTGGCAAGAGTGTTACAAAAAATCTGCGTATGTTTGTGAGAAATCAAGAGGTAATTATACTCGCACGCATTCAACTTATTGCAGAAAAAAGAAAGCATAGGATTAAATTAAAATTTTCCCTACGTAATGATCGATAACTCATGATTGCGACACAAAAGCAGCAAGTGAGATATGAGAGGATTTAGGGTACGCTGTCCTGTCATCTTTAAAAGGCTGCTTTAAATGTTTTAGAGCCTTTTAGTACGTTTTGGAATCATACATTGTAGACCCTACTGAGATAGGTCTTGGAAGAACAGATGACTTCGAAAAAAAGGTTTAAATAACCTGTTTTATTTGAACTAAACTAAACAGAACGCACTCACTCGGTGCTCACAATTTGCAACCATTTGTGGCTAGGTAACTTAACAGAAAAATAAGGTGTACAAGCACGATAAAGTTAAGATTTGGCTACATGACTGCCCCTTCTTTATCTAAACCGCTAAATCGGCTGCACACAGCAAAGCCAAACCAAGAATACCAATATAATCTAAAGAGAGTGACTAAGCTTGTTTAAATACTGATTTCCGAAATCACTTAGATTTACATACACGTCATTAAAATTTATATTCTGGCAGGAAACTAAAATCAGAAGGGAAAGGAAAGTTTCTTTTTTATACTAAAAATAATTGGCTAGAATAAAATAAGGGTTTACAATGTAGGAACTGAGTCGGGCAGACAGAATAGATTGTCTAATGTTGTCTTGCAACATAAAAACTTTATCTAGTGCATTTTAATGTGGATACTACGGTATGGTCTCAGCTGGCATTTCAACGGAGTCAGTACTCATAGTCAAATCCGTACAGAAATAATTCATTTCGATTCCTCCAGGTCTTCACTGGGTAGCAGCACATACTGGTATTAATTTAATATGACTGAGTCGGGCAGACAGAACAGATTGTCTAATGTTGTCTTGCAACATAAAAACCATATCTGGTGCATTTTAATGTGATACTACGATATGGTCTCAGCTGGCATTTCAGCGGAGTCAGTACTCATAACATAGTTAAATCCATACAGAAATAATTAATTTCGATTCCTCCAAGTCTTCACTGGCTAGCAGCACATACTGGGATTAAAGAAATGAAACAGCAAACCCTATTGCTAAAAGCTCAACTAAACATCCCCACGTGAGTAGCGTCAATGTACCTCCCTCCCCCGAAATGATGTCTGAAAACCACCCTCATTTGCCAACTAATGAAACAATGGCAAAACTACTGAAACCGAGCACCACATGTAGAAGGCTATATAATTTTTATCCAAAAGTCGACCAGAACTTAAAGTAACGTCTCTTCGCAACTCACCCAATACTTGACAGAGCACGGTCCATATATGTCCTTTACAGATTTGGGCCTAAGAGATATCGACCAATGCATTTGAAACAGTACTGGTGATCCAGACCACTGTTTGTATGATTTCCCGCAAACAGCTAATTCTCATTTAAAAAACTCTCTGCAACTAATACACTAGCAGGAATCAGGGAATACAAGTAAAAATAAGTATGCGCTCTGCTGCATTAGAGATTATGCTAACACTACTTAAGAACATTGCTGATAACCTGGAATAACTTCCCTGCTACTTTTACATGACACCGTATACTGTATTTATATTAATTTACTTAATATCTTGTTTTGATTCTCTTTTACAACAATTATCTACTTTAATAATATTTAATTTTATGATTAACCCAGCTGTCATTGTTTTGAATATTTACTCGCACTTAAATTTTATTATCTGTGTCTAATTATTTAAATTTGTACTAAAGGTGTACCTGATATAGTTATATTTGCACAACAGTTTTAAACTAAATACTAATGCGTATTTAAATATGTATTATTTATACCTTACTACTGAGCATTTCATCAGAAGCATATTCAAACAGGTATTATTTGTACTAATGAACGTTTCGTAAATCAGTCTGTACTCACATTTCAATGAATTTGTTTTATTTAATTCATTTATTATTTAATATGGCATTAACTATGTTAATTCCATTGAAAATTATTTTCTATTCAACATGGTATTTTAGTATTTAATGCCAAACTTGTGACTGAGTGTGTAGAGTCCAGTGTATGAACTTCTGTCTGTATACTGGAGTAGCAGGAAACTACACAGGAGAAGGGTTCACGTACTCTTTATTAAGTCTTTAAAATTTACAATGCGGCAACTCGACACTAACAAACTTCGCCTCTACTTGGGCGGTAACTGAAAGTCAGATAATTGAAACTAAAAGTTGAAATATTAACAAGTGATAAAAACTAGCCTACAGGGCTCAGCCAGATCCCGTAACTTCAACCCCCTTCTAAACTAGTGGCAGCAAAGAAATGCAATTAAGCCACTTGAACCAGCAATAAGCAAACATACCTGCGGCAGAGACGGCGTCTAGAGCCTAACCCTCTCTCTCCTACCGAAACTCGGCTTTAACTACTTCCTTCAAAATAGAAAATCTGCATTCGTTCACGCACGCTACAACATTTAACTATTCTGGAACTGACAATTAGGGGAATGAAGGCTTATAGGAAAGTTTCAAATAAAACTTTAAATCATTAGTTAAAAAAATCCCTACAAGTGTCAAACTTGCATTTTTCTCCCATGGCAATATCCCAATGTAATTACCTGAAACTGCTGCTTATGCTATCTTAATTAGATTTATTATTATTATATGCTGTATATTTTGCTTATAAGTATTTGTAGGTCTGTTGTATCTAAATATGCATGTAAGTATTATCGTGCATTCTTTTTAGCAAGTCTTGTACATGCCTTCATGTTGCCATCCAGTTTTCTTTTGTTTCAGTCCCCCAAAAAATTGTTGTTTTACTTTTATGTATATTTAAATGGGTCACCTGTGGTTATATGTCATATTAACACTGCCTTTCTAATTTAATTATTATACTTTCTGAATACACCAAACTTCACTAGCGGCATATGTCTTAATTGCATAATTACATGACATCATGTTTTCCCCTCTTTAATGTTCTCCACAAACACCACAAATAATATATAATATATATATTATATATATATATATATATATATATATATATGTACGTAGGCTTTTTTTTTCAACCTCCGATGGACTATAAAGAAAATAATATACAAAAAAGATGTTATTACCAAAAGTAATTTACAATGCAGGTTATTTCTTTACATAATCACGTTGATGACTTAGGCATTTGTCATGTCTGTGAACAAGCTTTGCAATATCCTCTTCGTAAAATGTTCCCGCCAATGATTGGAAGTGAAATGTGACGGTTTCTTTGAGCTCCACGTCATTTTGGAAGCACTGACTCCCAAGCCACTGCTTCAGTTCAAAGAAAAGATAAAAGTCACTCGGCGCTAAGTCGAGACTGTATGGTAGGTGTTCAAAAATGTCCCATTGAAAGTGCTGAAGGAGCCGTTGGGTTACACGAGCGCTGTGAAACGGGCATTTTCGTGGATCAAAACAATTCCAGAAGTCAGTATGCCTCTTCGTTTTTTTTTTGAATAGCTCTCTGTAAGCGTCGCAAAGTTTCACAATAGGAATCTGCATTTATTGTTGTTCCAGGCTGCATAAACTCCACAAGCCATACACCTTTTTGGTCCCAAAAACCAGTGTCCATAACCTTACGGGTGTTGAAGTTTCATTTGAATTTTGTGGGTCTCTTTGGAGAATTTTTATTCATCCATTGTTGTGATTGTCATTTCGGGCGTGTCACATTGAACCCATGTCTCATCACCTCTCAAATGGATCTCAAAAAATCTTCTCCAACACTATTGTAACGGTCAAGAAACTCCAACGCTGCAGCCATTCGGCGAATTTTGTGGTCGTCAGTCAACATCTGTGGAACTTAACGAGGGCAAACTTTTCTGTAGCGCAACTGTTCAGTAACGATGGAGTATCTTGAAACTTCCATCTATAATTCACTTATGGTGAACCTTCGATTTTCCCTAACCGCTTGGTCAACTCGTTGAACAATGTCTTCTGTAGCGACGGACTTGCGTCCTTGACCCCCTTAATCATGCACATCAGTTCGGCCATCCTTAAACTTTCGACACCATTCACGAACAACGCCATCACTCATAAAGCTGTCTGCATACACTCGACTCATACTTCGATGAATTTCCGGTGTACTGCTTTCCGTTTCTGCTTGCAAGAAACGAATAACAGCTCGCTATTCACACTTGGTGAGAGAATCAATAGCGACAGCCATGTTTACGTGACTGCAACTCAACAGGAAATGGCGTGTTGAACTCGCCAGAGACAGAGCGTGTGGAGGGAGAGACTCACAGTCGCCTACTACACACACCAACCTCCTGCCGCATGCCTGGCCATCATACTGTGCGATCGGAGGTTGAAAAAAACAACCCTCGTACATACACACGCAGAGAGACGTACATATTATATTATATATACGTATGTATCACATTAATCCTACCGCAAGACAAATTCATTGATGACAAGAATTGGTTTTTCATGACTCATGAAAATGCATGCACAATCGTCTCTGCACATGGCAAAAGTAATAAATTAGGTACAAATTTTATTTAGTAAACAATTCAAAGTACTAACAAGACATGGCTTTATCTTATTTCATCACCTTGATCTTTTAACCAGTTGAATGGCTCGCCATTTAGTATATATTTCATCTTTGTATTTTTCTTAAAGGACAGACCCAAACAGCAAATCATGCAGCTGAAGTTTATAAAATAATTCTGATAATGGGGTTTTTTGGTCGAAATGTACATTCAAGCCAGTGGATGTTTGCCCATTATTAGTGTAAAAGTAAGCGATAATAGGTCCAAAAGGTGCATTCTTGTTTGTGTTTGTGATTGAATTTCTCCTGCTTGTTGAATAGTTACAGTTCTACTATAGAAACAATCTTGCAGAGCAATACTAATTCATGGGGAATTTCTGAAATAACTTTCAATTATTAAGATATATTTCCGTAAAATTATTAACATATAAATGTTTTAATAGATCCTAGGATAAAGCAACCCTCTAAAGCACCTTTTGCATGCGAGACTATTAAGGGCTGGACTCGATTAGGTTCATCCTGTTACAAAGTGTTCAGAGGAAACTCGACATGGGAAGAAGCTCAGTCTCAGTGTAGCGCATATAAGGCAGATCTTGTTTCTCCCAAAATTACGATAGTGGCTCAGCTTCTGAGAGAAAGATATGCATTCAAGGATACATTTTACTGGATAGGAGTGAGAGAAATGGTGAGATCCACTTAAAATGTTTCTAGCAGGATTTCTTTCAAATCTCAACTAGAAAGTTTTTATTAAATAAATTTTAATGCATGTAACTTCTATATTATATTACATCTTTTTCTGAAATTCTTGAAATGTTACTTATTTTTTATAATTATTCTTTTATTTATTAAATTCAAAAACGGTTGCATTCCAAAATTAATTTTTCCTTGGCAGGCACAAGAAACCTATAAAACGGTTAACGGTCATAATCTGATACACAGCAATTGGGGACGAGGCCAACCCCAGAATATTTCTCCACCTACGGATAATTGTGTCGTCATCAATAAAAATAATCGCTGGTTGGTTAGAAGTTGTCAAGAAGAACATTCTTTCATTTGCGAATGGAATACAAGTTAGCTTATTCAAATATTTCTGTCAATTTTGCCATCAGAATTTTATTAATACTCGTAGTTAGCTATGATTTGTTCTCAAATATTTTAATTTCCTATTTCCCTATCTTTCATTTTTTTTTTTTTTTTTTTTATTTTTGCATTCTCAAACTAAAATAAGTAAGTCTGTATGTATTACTTAATAAATTTATGTACTTAAATTTACGTAATCGAAAACTATCTCTAGATTCTATTCAAAGATTTTTAAACGTTCATTTTTGCTTTTGATCACCACACATATTTTAAAATTGCAGAATGTCTCACGCATTCATAGCAATGAAACTTAATTAGTTAAAAATTAGCGCAAATTTCAAGCCTCTCTAAATTTCAACACATTGTTGCATTCTACGCGCTCGTGGATTTGGAGTAATTGATGGTAACACATGATGAAGAATCAAAACATAATTTTTTCGCCAGTAAGCAATATTACACAAGACAGTCATCGAAAAACTTCGACAAACAGGCTTAAACAATCAGCAACACAGCCTTCAGGCTATCAGACTGTAAGGGTGAAAATAGCTTCATGGCGAAGCACTAAAGTGCAGCTCCCGACTCGGTCGATTACTTTCAAGCTAATCTCAGAACTTAAGTCATTCACTCCTCCCAGGGCAGGCAGAGTATGTAAAGCTTTTAACCTACCTTCGAGAATAGTCTCGAGAAAAACCGCTAAAAATGCGTTCTAAAATATTCTCGCTTTGTCTATGGCATATCGCCAGTTTTGTCGCCAAATATCGCCAGATGGGCGATTTCGGGCCAAGTCTGGTAGACCTAACTATTCTTTGCGAAAAAGTTATCTTACCGCAGCTGGCTATTACTCACAAGAATATTATACCACATTTCAGACTAAGACAACTTTGAAATTTGCACCCAAAATTATTTTAAAAAATCTTGCATTAGCAAATTTCATTTGCTTGATACATTCCAAATTCATTAATATCTTTCAGTTCTAGTTAATGATCATAATTTTAATCCACCTTTACCTTCAATTTTTAATAAAATTATTAATAGGTATTTTTTATAATTTTTATGAATAGAGGGCGTCACTAGTTTGTTTTTCTGCTCTATTGTGACTGCGTGAGCACAGAATTTTCATTCATCATTTTCATTCCTGAAGCTGAAGAAGAAGGGTCTAGTCACACCTTCGAAACTAGTCCTGGAAATTTATCCAACTTACTCTTCAGTATCTTCAATATATTATATAGTATTACTGTTAAGGTGAAGTGTCAAATTATTTTCCTCTTTAAAAAAGAAATAGTGTTTATCTGGATTTTTCTTTCTGTAAATATAAATGGCTAAAACGTTTGAGAGTTTCTCTCCCTTTTGCCTCTCTTTATTGATCGATTTAGCTAAAAATGCGCAGTATAGGATGACCTTTAAAATATCTGACAGAAATGTAACCAAAAACCATAATGAGAGGAAACCGAAAAAAGCCGATTTTATAATGAAATATGCGTGCCGAAATGACGTTTTAAAGTACTGGCACGTAAGGAAGATATGAAGAAAAAAGAGGAAGACATAAAATAGAGAAAAGTTAAAATAAACAAACAATTTTAATGATCAAACATTTTCTAGTTTTTCCAGTTTCCATCAATAGTAAAACGACTTTCATAGCAGCAAGCGTGTTGATTAGCACACATTAAGACAGCTCTCAACCTTTTCAAGCACATTTTCGTTAGCATCAGACAATCTGGCCACGAGATCTTAATCCGATTTAAAAGCACTTAGATTGTGCACTTTTATGCCCGTAGAAGAAGAAATTTATGTATGTCATATCTGATCATCGTGATGGTCAAAGAACGATGCATATTGCTCGATTCATTGGGAGCCGTTAGAGCTGTCGAGATAACTTCTTACGTTATTGTTGAAATGAGCTGGCTCTCCATAGTGATGGAGATATATCTGTGTGCAAAGTGCTGAAAGAACATCAAAAAAAGTTCCAGCTAGATATCTTATAAAACGATGTCGTACATAAGGCCGTTCAAACAACTAAGTAGCATATACAGTCCTGCTAAGTAGTTTCGTACCATGCCTGAATCTTTTTTTGTAAGCATACTATCTCGTGCCGTGTGGATTGTAAGCAAAACGTGCAAAAGAAGAACTGTAAATGGATAACATAACCGAAATCGTAAAAAGTAGCCTTATCACAGAGTAAAACGTGCGAAGGGATGTTAAGATTTCCTGCCACCTGGCTAGTAGCAAGTGGGAAAAGCTAACACGTTAAGAAAATCGTCCGATTTCAATGAGTGCACTTCTTGCAAATGACATAGATGCATTTATTCCTTCTTCATAGGCCTGTAAACAACTGTTTTACTCTCACCAATACACTTTCGATAACTGCAGCTCTCGTATTTACAGCTGGATTATACTCAACTATACGTATTACAGTGTATTTTACTGCAGGTGTTTTGCAGTTCCTTCTCCCACCCATCGCTACAAGTACAGAATGATCCATTCTTCACACAGCTCCCTCCTAATACGCTCAAACATTAGAAAATTCAGCATTTTCGAACATTAGAAAATTTAGGCATCCTTACTTTGCGATCGTCTGCAGTCCGATAGATAAACTCCATATTCACGAGATCCACTTCGTGCGTAGAAGCATACCGCTCGAAATCCAGATTCGAAAAGACGATTTATGCCAAACCGCTTTCATCTACTTATTTCAAAAGTGTCCTCTGCCTACTCAACGCGCTGTTTTCACGTATGCGTATCATTATAAGATCTGCTTATTTTGGTCACCTATACTTGCATTTCTGTTAAATGTATTAACACTGCCCTTTTAAAAGCATAGACTCCTTATATTAATATAGTTTATTACCACTATTACTCATATATGATTTTCAGGAATAAAAAGATAACATTTTTATACATTTTTACCTCAGATTAAATCATAATCATGCATTTATTTTCAATTTTATTATTTTTCCTTATTTATTTATTTTTATTCTACAATTCCTTGCAGGTCTTGACATAGAAAATATTACAGAAAGAAACAATTTTAGCGAGTGTTCCAGAGAATGGAAAAATTTAGGAAGCAGTAGTAGTTATATATTTAAAGAAGACACACCATTATCTTGGAACAAGGCTATGGCTTATTGCCTCAAACATGGTTCGTGTTATAAGAAAAATGTTTAATTTTTAAAATCTTTTTTTATATTTATGTTTTACTGCGATGTATTTTAAGAGTTATGTTTATATGTCGCCACAAATTACAAAACTTTCACAACAAATTAACAAACAATAAAAAATAGAATAAGTTAATTTCCGCAATGGTTATTGACCGCTATGTTTATAAACATACGTGTGTACCATCATTAGTTATAACAATTGATATTAAAGCAGCGCTATTAAAGTCTTAGACCTATCCACTTACAGTACTAACACAAAATCTACAGCTAGTATTTTGTGAAGCCCTTTTTGTTACGCAGTCTGCAAGCCAAAAATTTTGGAGGTAAGGGTAGGACAGGGTTTGTATTTTCAGACATATGGTAGTATCATATAGTAGTAGTTAGTTCAGACATATATAGTTCAGATATATAGTAGTAGATTGTGCGGAGAGAATTCGGTTGTCGTACCGAAGACTCAGGCTTGAATCCCGGAGAAGGCATGGATGTTTGTAAGCTTTTTTGCATGAGGTATGGGAAGTATAGCAGATACTTCAAAAACGTATTAAGTGAATTTTCCTATTACTATGAAAAAGTGAATACCATCTTTTGCCAATATTTCAAGAATTCTGAAAAATCCTTACTCATAGCAGCATTTTTTCCCCTTTATACTTATTTATATGTTACATAATCACAAATAATTTTATACGCTCTAAGGAGAGTGGAAATACATTTTCGAATAGAAACTACTTCGTAAAGTCTTCTCCAAATTTTTTATTTTAGAAAAAGTGCATTTATGTTTTAAGAAAAATTTACTCGTTTGCTAAAATATTTTCATTCAGGCATATTTTGAATAGTGTTTCCCAATTATAATGCAAAAATATGTTCCAATCTTTAATGTTTAGTTCATTTTATTTAAGAAAAGCAAAACTGTCTTTGCAGGAGGTAATTTGGCGAGTTTCCACTCAATCAAAGACGTCAAGCTCGTGCAAGATTTCTTAAATCATAATTTGTGTCTATCGACAAGGAAACACTCAGAAACATGGTAAACTAAAATTCTTTCGAGAGATTCCTGCTAGGGGAAGAGGTGTGGGAGATTCTCAAATCATCTCTTGGTATGTTCACCTCGGAATTTCAATGATGGGCTAGAAACTTAACAGTTAGCAAAGTCCATCGATTCACAGGTGCTGACCTTGCTTCAGCCTGTATATATATTGGGTGACTATGGAAGTAAACGCCAGTGTCAGCCTATACTATAACCCCAAATGATGCATTATGGTATGGCGGTGATAATGCAAAAGTCATAACGTCTGTCACCACAGTACGCCGAACTCAAATGGTATCATCGTAAGGCAATAGGCAAAATCGAGATTTATCTCAAGACAATATCGTGTCATTCGTTTATACATACCTATCTTTCAGTGCACCATTGCAGCAGAATACACCTAGAGATAGAATCAATAATGATCACAGCAATGGGTGCCTTATAGGCTCCCTTCATCTATAAGTGATGTCGAATGATACGCACTGGCAGAGGTTGTAGTGAAATAGGCCATAATTCTCACACTAAGTTCGTCACTGACATAAACACAACATGCCTGCCTTCATGTTCGGTAGCGTGATGAGGCGATGCAATTGGCCTCTTTAGTTGGTTTAACATTCTTTCAACTGCCAAGTTCATATTTTCATAATTTTGGCTTCATTTCATTCATATGGACACAATTCGTCTGAAGCACAATCCCTAATTCTTTACTTGTCCAGCACCAAAGTTTACTGATTACTTTTTTTCTTTCTTTTTTTAAAAATTCTCCTAACAAGGCAGTTTGACGCTTCCTGAGCAAAAATTACCAGGAAGACAAGCAATTTAGAACTTATACCTGCTCATTGTCTTTTTTCTTTTTGTAATTTTTACTGGCGTACATTAATTTCTCTTGCTCTGCAATGTTAATTATATTCACACCTATCGAGGTCTAGGTATGGCGCAAATGTGACGTTTCTTGCATATTTCCTTCATGATGCTGCACTTTGGATAGCGAGCAGTATAAATGCTGAAAATTAAAAAAATTGGATCTTCATGAATTTTATATAAAAAAACGTATATAATTAATTATATAGATAAATTCAAAATTGATTCCATTGCGCAATACTACTAAAACACTTGTACATCGAATTCTATATTATTCAATAAACATGTCAACTTTTCTAAATTTCTAAAATTCGCTTTTATAGAATTTTGTTTCTTTTATTATTCTTCATTCAGTATGTTAAGGCTTCTAAAGTCCAAAACGTCATACATTCTAAAGATCCTTTTACTAATATCTTTATTAATTCTAAGAATCTTTTATTGAAACTGAAGATTACATTTTATTATGTAAGGAAATATTGTGCGTATATCAGAAAATGCATCGCTATTCTGAAGAATACTTAGCGTGCTTTTCTTAAAATGAATGCATTGATCGTTTCTGCCAGTACATTAAATTGATTATACAAATTTTATAACTAATGTTTGAAATGTCTAGTCAAAACTCATAATTTTATTTTATCGGTCAGTGGGACTCGAACATATCGTTAAGTGCCAAATTTTTCACGGTACTACTTAGTTAGATGTTTATATGTCTAGAATTTTAAATACATTAGAAAGTTACGTTTTAATCCTGAATTCCGAATTACTGTAAATCCGAAATACAGCATCATTTTTAATGTGCCTTATTGATTCAAAAGTACTTATTCAGCTAAGTCATTTTAATCATTTCGCAAACGTTATGATAATGTTGCTACAAAGGTTATTGCGAAATTCTGAAATATCAAGTATAACTTCAGTTTTTTGCATGAGGTATGGGAAGTATAGCAGATACTTCAAAAACGTATTAAGTGAATTTTCCTATTACTATGAAAAAGTGAATACCATCTTTTGCCAATATTTCAAGAATTCTGAAAAATCCTTACTCATAGCAGCATTTTTTCCCCTTTATACTTATTTATATGTTACATAATCACAAATAATTTTATACGCTCTAAGGAGAGTTGAAATACATTTTCGAATAGAAACTACTTCGTTAAGTCTTCTCCAAATTTTTTATTTTAGAAAAAGTTCATTTATGTTTTAAGAAAAATTTACTCGTTTGCTAAAATATTTTCAATCAGGCATATTTTGAATAGCGTTTCCCAATTACGATGCAGAAATATGTTCCAATCTTTAATGTTTAGTTCATTTTATTTAAGAAAAGCAAAACTGTCTTTGCAGGAGGCAATTTGGCGAGTTTCCACTCAATCAAAGACGTCAAGCTCGTGCAAGATTTCTTAAATCATAATTTTCAGTCACGTTTCTTACATATTGGACTTACAAAGAACACAGATGGTAAGATTTCTTTATTTAATTTGTTTTAATTTTTTCAATTATTATTTTCTTCCTATTACGTAAACTAAAGTTGATAGAGAATGTGATGACTAAAATAAAGACTTTTAAAATAAAGTCTTAAAAAAGTACTTTTAAAATAAAGTCTTAAAAAAAGAAAAATCTGAAAGCTTTTAGATTTTATATTATGCCCAAGGGGGCTTTTTGCTTCTATTGAACGTTTTGTGTGTTGACTTGGTTTATTAAATATCATGTTCTTCGCACTGAACCACATAAAATTCAGTTCAACAGCAGTATTACAAAATATTTTAAAACAGCATATCTTTAGAATTTCCGATTGAAAGGTCTCGTGCACTGGATATATTTGTTTTTCGAAGAAACTATACTTTCTTATATTCCTGACATTATGAGGTGCCGGGTGGTAATTCAGACAAGAAAGAGAGAGATTATCCCATTCTATCATTTTTTCAGGGTTAGGAGGAAGAAAATTTGTGTGCGTGATGTAGAGATTTATGCAGAGAAAGTTTTGCATTTTTTGAGCAAAAGGATGACTTCCGTTCCATTGGCTACCTCTGGTAAGTGTCTTCCAGCATCTTCCAACAAATGCAAAGAAGAGTCTTAATAAGCTCTGGGCAAACCATGTAAATTTTCTGAGTAATACTGTTGAGCCGCCTCTGAGTCTGAGCATATGGCACTTGTTACGGTTTGCAGTGACAGAAAACAAGCACGAATCTATGTTGGGGTATTTAAATTGAGATCATCTTCCTTTATCTGTTCTCCCATAGTGAAGGCTAAAAAGACGGACTGTGATTTGTATGGTGGGGGGAATGAAACATTTTCTGCATGCTATTTTATATATTGCTACGTAAATATTAGTAGTAACCGTGCAGAAGTTTTTCTGGGCTTTGTATCTGGGTGCAGTAATTAGTTCTTTTTTTTGATGTTTAGCTATGCTTCTGAAAGAGTAGACATGTAAATCATGAACATGTCTAACTTTTTGGAAAGTTTCTCTTGTAGCTTACACTCTTCTGCGTAGCTCTCTAATCTCACAGCGTGATCATGTTAGTTTTAGTACATGTCAGAATGTGTTGCCTTGTCTGCGTTTTTATTCTTACAGAAAGTTCAGTCCTTGACCATTTGGCTAATCATGGAGGTGTAGCAGAATCCAGAATTTAAACTTCATAGGTGCTATGGAATTCTTTTGAAGTGGACCTGTGAGAGAAAACAGTATCTAATTGAAACTTGGTAATCCGTTGGTGTCGTTGAGCGAAAACTATGTCCAATCCCGACCAACCCAGTGCTTGATAGGATTTGATCGCTGTATCAGTTACATTCAGATACCTTTTAGCCCTTCTAAATCAAGACTACAGTTCTTTTGGGGCTATGAACTCTCATAGCGGAGAACCATTTTCGTTCTCTTGGTTAGATCCCATAGCAGGCTGGTAGCATTAAAGATTCTTTCTTGCTATTACCTTATACCATACGTTTGTGATGTATTGAATCCAGTTTATCTATCATGGCAGTTAGGTCTGCCGAGAGAAGGATGTAAATGAGTTTAAATCTGGCGGAAATGGCTTCCGGTTATATTGTCATTAAGTGGTCAGATAGGTGATTTATCATTGAAATTTCAGTGTCACAGTAATTAATACAAAGTTTATTATTTCTTGAAAGATGCATATGACTGAAGGAAAGATTGAAGATAACGCTACTCCATTTTATATAGAGTTCCTGTGTTAGTCCAGAATATATCTTATGTTGTTGCATAATTTGTGCAAGGCCGTACATCACTGCTCGAATTTATTGGAGAGAACACTGCAGGATTTGGCAAGAACTTCTTTCATGTAATTATGGCAGATAAAGAGAAAGTTGCAATCGTTGACGTTTTTAGCCAATCGTTGAAATGACTCCCTGTGGGAAGGATGATCGAAGCCAATGACTTCCTTAAACAAAGCATAGTTGAGTGCTCGGTCATCTCTTGGTATTAATCAACTGAAGTTTATGCTAATTCTCATGTAAAACATTCCTGTATTGTTTTGTGTTGCCTAATCATGTAAATTTATGAATCATTAAACTTATTTTAACCTCAGTTTAGGTAACATAAATCAAAATAAGCAAAGATTGTCGTTGTCGGCAATGAACGACTCTCATCACAGAAAAACTAAATTCGTATAAAATAAGTTACTGATAATTTGCATAATTGAAAGAATTATGTCCGTAAAAATACTTTTAAGTCCTGTTTAATAAGGTACGAAATAAATAATATATTGGTTGATTGCCCTTGAGAAAAGAACTGTCATGCCTTAAAAATTAATTTACGCTACTGTGAAGAACAATTTTCGAGGATAATGTAAAACTTCCTTCATACAATAATCATAGTCGATATCATAGACCTTATTCTACAGTCACAAGTCTCTAATTTCAAGCCCTTTCTTCGGAATATCATTATTTGCAGCATAATACTTCTCACTAAAATACACCTAAATTTTTAAGGATTCAAACGTAAGCAAATAATTTTCCTATTGCGCATCCGTCAAGTGACAGGGATAGGGCAGAGGTTTCCTTGAGGTAATCAACTGTAGAATCATCCTTTTTGGTGAAAGAAATAAACTTGAATTTGAACCAAAACAGTTCTCTTTAACAGGAGTTGCCGAACCGGGTAGTAAATGAACTAAATTTTTCTGAATCTTACAAGATATATTTACTTCCTTTAAGGGGTTTCTATAGTTCTTCAGAATTTAGGCTAAACTGGCGAGACCAAAATCTTGTCCTCCCTTTATTAATAGTTTTTTGTGAACTGTATGACAACAAAGGTGTCATTGCTATACTTGCACTCTTAAGTTTCGGTAAGCCCTATTTATACCTTTAATACTGTCACAAGTTGTTTTAGCAGTCTTATATTTGATATTAAGCTTGAAGTACTATAAGAACTATCGATATATTTTTGCAAAGTTTTCACTCATAGGTATAGTTTTGTGAGAATCAAAGTGATTTCGATATCTAAAAATTGAAATGATATTATTTCATACAATATGCAAAAGTTTGGTTAAAAGTACTAGTTCTGATTTATTTCATCTTTGTTTTATTTATATATTTTATATAAGGGGAAATAAATAAAATAAATTATTCTTCAGCTGGAATTTCTTAAGCATTTGACCTTTTACCTTATTTCTAGTAATTTAGCTTTTAAAAATATGATTTTAAAAGTACTTTGACAGATCAAACTATCGAGAAAAGGAATACTCTTCTAAGAAAACAAATATATTTAGCGATATGCCAGAAGATGATCATTATATTATTCGATATTAGACACCAATATTATTTTAAATTGGAAAATGGAGTTTGGACGTGTGATTTGCTGATATGAAAATCTATATATAAGCATTATGAAAAAATATATATTACATGTAAGTCCTCGTGTTTTGTGTGCTTTATATTAACGTCACAAATCTGCCTTTTGTAGTTACTTACATTTAATAAAGAAACGCCAATGCATGTCTGTTATTATCACACTTAGGAAGCTACGCATGGGTGGATCATAGCCCACTGGATTTCACACACTGGGCTATCGGGCAGCCTGATTACAAGGACGACTGTGTGGAGATGATTGTTGAAGATGGCAAATGGAATGATATCGATTGCGATAAGACGAAACGAGGATTTATATGCTCTACCTCTAGAATAAGAGGTAAGTTCCAGTTTTAATTCTTCAGAAAATAAAAACATAATTAGAATGAACTTCTGTTTACCATTGATACAGTGCTCTGTAAATGTATTTACATTTTTAATGTGTATTTCAGTTCAAAATACACAATACATTTGCGATGCGTGAAACTGATCGCTTTATGTTATAAAATGTATAAGGTGATGTAACGTTTTACTTCATTTTGCAAGTTTACCTGTATTTCCTCAGTAATTGGGTACTCAGCCCACAATAAACATTTTTACTATTTATATACAAAATGTTTTGTGTCACGCATTGAATTCTATCCTACGCCGAACAAAAGACGTTAAGGATGCATTAGAATCACTTGCTCTGAATACTTCAATGACTAGTTCATAACATAAAATATATACATATATATATATATATATATATATATATATGGAAGGATTGATGATAAGCATAACTAGAACTCTGAAGTTAAACTAGCATTTATTTATTGACATTAGAATGAAAAAAAGAGAAAAAAGAATAATTGTTAAAACATTTTGGCCACGTCCGTCCTGAGTATCGTTCACGTCTCATCTGGTCTGACCACACCTTAATCTAGATGGCGCTCTTACATAATCTTAGTTACAATTACAGTTCCCACATAATTCGGCCATCCGGCATGGCGGCCGCTTTTTCGGATGGCCCAAACTTTCCTTTCCCCATCGATGACGAATAGCTGATAGCTTTGCACTTTGTAATCGATTACGAAGTCTCGATACTTTGTTTACGTTTTATGCGGAATTGTGGTAAGGTTGTATATGGAAAATCTTGCAGAATTGATACGAGCCGCTATTCATATTTAATTTTTTTTTCTTGCTGTATACTAGACTGGATTCAATACAAATAAATCTCTATGCTATAGTCAATTATTTCCATTATTCGAATTAATTCATTAAAAGTCTTAATAAACAAACATACTCATATTGCTGATACAAAAATATTGATATGCTTTGTTGAATTCTCTTGTTAATAAAGAACAGCAATTGTGCATGTAATGACAGTAAAAAAAAAGTGAAAATTTATATATGTCTGTATTGTTGTACAGACTGTAGCAATAATGCATGTAATGTAATAATGCATGATTATAAAATAAATGTTAGTATCTACTGAAGTAATAATTACATATGTTAGAACACAAGAAAAGAATCTGAATTGTTATTTTATTTTAGTGACTCGTATTTTTTTTAAAGTTTCCTCCAAACAGCAGAGATGTGTGTCCTAAATTTTGTACTGAACAACACAAAATTATGTTCAAAGAAAAGAAATTCATAAATTCTGCATTGCATACGATTGGCCAGTTAAAAAAAATCATGTTTTCCATTTCTCCACATCGAAAAATTATACCGGGGGGGGGAGACACCACTGTACTTCACTTGGCATTTGATGCTTTTATATCAATAAAAATTCCATGGCTTTAACCATTGATCCTAATTTTAATCCCTCTTCATTGTTAGCTTTTAAGGAAATTTGCATTTTGGTCTCTTTCTGTCAATAGTGGTATTAAGGATTTGGTTTTCATCATTTAACCATACTCTCCAGTTTCTTTCTGTTGCTTCTCATATAGGCACATGCTGATTTTTCATTCTTGCAGCAATTATGTTTAATATTCAGACCTGTAGTGCTTCAAGTTTACAAACATTTTGTTGATTCTTGTTTGTTATTGATTTCTTTAGAAATAATAATCCTGTTTAGTGTTAAGATTTATGCATTGTTTATATCAGATAATTATTAATAAAAGAAACACTATATACTTTCATTATTTTCTGTGCATTTTAAGCATACAATTATTTCTGTATCTGAATAGATTTGGATTTATTGAATTGAACTTTTCTTACACCCAGTGTGCATGCCATGCTGAATGCATTATTTCAGATTCAAAATGTACAGACAGAAAACAGTACCAGGAAGTGGTAATTTAACAACATAAATAACGTTGGCATCAATTATCTCCTCCCTTAGACAACCACTTCCATAGAAAAATGTTTATAGCAGCTGTGTCTGGCTGTCTTACAGACGGTTCACTGTATTTTATGATTTAAAATTAATTAGCTCGTTATAATACTGATGCAATTTAAAGTTTTTTTTTCTCAGTTAGTTCAAACAACCCATGTTACTGATCAAAAAGTAGTATCTTATGATTATTAGTCATATTATTAAAAATTTCAAAATGGCTTTTGGAAATTTTCTCCTTACACAATTATTTTCAGTTTGACAAAAAAGCTTTCACAAGTTGGTCTTACTATGGTCAAGTATTGAATTTTGTTTCCGAAACGATAACCAGTAATTTTGTTTAGAGTTAAAAATCATTTCTATCGTATATGTAAATCTTTGTAGTTTTTAATATACTTCAGAAGTTCCTTTTCTTATGCCATAAGGCATGTGTAAAATAAGTTTATTTCCTTGTATTATTATTAAGCCATACAGAAGAAGCCTTTTTGACAATTGATCACTGAAACTTACGCCGTACCTTTCTGTTAATTAGAAAAGAATTTTGGATAATAAAATATATATTAGAAAAGTATTATATTATTAAAATATTTTTAAAAATATATTAGAAATCTCTGTAACTTAAAGCAAGCTTTCATTCTTCAACTACATGTCCATTTCCGATACCCAAAGGCTAATTCCATCACAATAACTTATCTTTTAACCGGTCATTATTCAGCAAAACCTTTCTATTTGAAATTTCTGTGATCATCCTTTGTAATAAAGGCCCAAAATACAACCTCCACCACCTGCAAAATGCATAGCTCTCTTTGTACGGAATCTCTGCAGCTGTTACTGGAAGGCACTAAATAGGCTTCCTTATTCTCTGTTTGTTATTTAGTATGTGATAGATTTTTGTGTATGTGTATTTGATAGTGTATACATACATATATACTTTTGTCTACCATTAGAAATAAAAATATATGCATTACAAATCTGAGTTATTAAGTACATTAAGGCTGTTTACGCCTTTCCTTCCAAAACAGATATTCAAATTAAATACATTAGGCAATTTGTGTTTATCTACATTTGTTTCAATAATAATGTTTCTGTTGGCATTAATTTCTCTAAGCAATTTAAACATGAGGTTGTTTAAGGCCATTTTTTATCCATTCATTTAGTGAAATATTTACATTTATTACTTTTTTTTCATTAGATAATCCAAGAATTTTATATATGTTACAATTTATGGTATAGGCTTGTATATATGCAATATGAATATTTTTTTTTAATTTTCCATAAGAAAAAAATTCTTATCCTGTATTTGTGATCTTATTATTTGATTGTGTTATAAGGTATTTCTCCTGCCTTCGTAGCATGCCTTCATGGTGTAATGATCAGCACACTCGGCACATATTCGAGAGGTCCATGGTTCGAGACCCGGGGAGGGCATTGCTCGTTTTTCTCTTCTCTCAGCTTTAAAAAAAAAAAAAAAAAAAAAAAAAAAGTCCTCATATCTCTAGAGTGTCTTTTTCAAAATAAACAAATAATCTGATGGAATGAAAATATTTTGGTCATTAAAACTTTTTAATCACTGCTGTTTATATCTACATTTCTTTTTTTCACATAATTTGAAGTTTTCATGTAGTTTGAAGGTTTTCAAACTATGTTTCAGAAAAATTTTAAATCTCATGCAACTCCTCTGGGCCATCTGCAAGTCAAAATCAAAATTTAAAACAATTTTTAATATCACTGAACATACTTAAAATAAAGAAATAGTTTTTATTCTATTGTTATTGTTACAAAAAATAATATTAAGCAGATCTGTTTTTATGATTAAAATTATAATGAAATAATGATTTTCTTTTCACTTTCTGCATAAAATGCACAAATTTTGTATTTCACTTCTTTTTTAACCATTTATTTTTCTGAGGATGGAAATGCTTCTCTGGAAAAAAATTACAGTTTTAGAGTTTTTTCTGAATTCGCAGATTTGAAGACAGTTGGATAGAAAAGCCACAATTTTTTAAATGGATGAATAAATACAGCCCTGGCTTTTTTTATGTTTTATGCATTTAATAAATTTCCGCCCGACTTTTTATTCTTTAATTCTACCTAACACAATTAATCGACACTTGTTTCTAATATAGAATTTTAGCATCAATTTTACATAATAACATGAGTAATCTTTTTTTAATTGAATTTTATTATTATTAATAAAATACTTTGGCATTATGAACTGAGAATTTTTCCCTTGACTTTTATCTTTCAATACTTTAGGAACTGGTCATTGATTTACATCTATAATAAAAGAAATAAATGCTTGTATGAATTTTAACATATTGTTAAAAATGCAATAAACCTCAGCTCCTTTGTTGCATGAATAATGTGAAACTTCCTGTTAAGTATTTTTTTAACATCTATGTAACAGTATAGACTCCATGATTATTCCTTAAAATTGGAAGTATCAGAAATAGATGTAAATATGTATCGTCTTCTGCATTAACTTACAAAAATAATAGTGTGAATATCTGAATGGAATTATATGAAAGCGCTACAGAACACTATGTTTTCACGATGGTCATTCCACTATATTGGAAATATTAAATGAAACAATAAGTGCACGAAATATTCAGTAAGAGGATATACTCTCTTCTGTAATAATACATTTGACTGCAGTTGTTTCATATGATATTTCTATACAACATCCCAAAATCTTGGTAAATAACTTTCTAAATTAAGTTTACAGTGTAAAAAAAGTGGTGGTAAAATGTTGTAGTCATGTAACTGGGCTACCATACATAAAAATTAAGCAGTGTTACAAGTGTTTTTATCTTAACTGCCTGTTACAACCAAATAACTAGATACGAGAAAGGGCATGCAGTGTCAGTACAGCTGGATGATCCCTTTTACAGAGTTCCTAATTTGAAAACAAGTTAACCTGTAAAACTAAATAAATAACAAGCTATTATTATAACTAACAAGCTATTATTATAAACTAAATAAATAACAAGTTAACCTGTAAAACTAAATTCATACTGGTTTGC